TTATTCAGTGCTGTCTGTGAAGAATCAATTATTTTGATATCTTTATGAATTCAAGCTTTTTTGTTTCTGGCTTTCACTTTAGAATTTCGGTGTATTGCGAAAATATTTTTGAAGTGTCCTGTAAATAATTTCACACGTCCAATAGATTTTTTGTTTTACTAAAATGGGTAGGTCAGTAAAAATAAATTTATTTTCTTTTAATTTGCTTTGTCTTTCAGTTTTGTGTCATATAAGGATCCAGTGATTAACATTGAAACTTCAAAAATTTCCATTTTCTTTTCAGAATAGGTTGATGAAAATTATATTTGTTCTTTCTGACAACTGTTCATGTGTAATTTGAGGTAATACAAAACATATGGTGTGAATTATTGTATAGTATAGTGTAGATAATTTATCTTTCAGAGAGATGATCCATCCTTGCTGGCGCAGTTTTTCTATGCCGATGAGGCATTAAACCTTGTTGCAGCTGAACTGGATAGCTTTGATGGACGCAAGGATCCAGAGAGATGTACAGCCCTTGTTAACCATCTCAGGCAATGCCAGGATAAGGTAAATGGATCCAAGTTAAATAATGTATGACAGTGTAGTCCCAGTTATCCAACCTAAATGGGATCAGAGGACAGTTGTATAATTGAAAATGTCAGATAATACAGGAGACTATTGAAAAAGATGAGGGTAAATACAAATTTATTTTGTATAAAAAATACAGTATAACATCAAATGAAGAAATCTTGCAAACAAGCATAGTATTTAACAAAATGTAAATTTGTATTTCAAAGAGAGATAGAGAGTTTTTTTAAAAAAAAATATTATTGGGTATTTGCTTCTGAGCCGCCTTCCCTTTCTTTGTGGAAGGGTCAAGACAATGCCTTGACAATATTTCATCTGTAGCAGTTGCCTTTGTTTGTTATTCAATGTAAGCAAGTGCAGTCTTGTTGGAATTTATTCCCTGACCGTAACTCATGATATGTCAGATAAAACAGAAAGTTGTATAACCAAAGATTGAATAATCAGGACTCTGCTGCATTATAATTTGATATTGTACATGTTTTGCGAATTACTTTAAGCTGAATAATATGAAAGCAAACTGTTCTTCACATTCAAACAACACATGTTTTATGCTGAAGAATTCATTCAGAACTATTCTATTTGATTTAAGATTATGCTTATATGTTTTGGTTAGAAATGTGAAAATAAATCATTCTTATACTATTAAATATGTCTGACATCTCAGAGGGTTATCTGAATGTAAGACCTTTGTTACACTAGCTGATATGCTTTGAAGATTACTGTCCTGACTTAAAATGAGTTTGTAATACAAGGGAGTGATCACATTGTATAATTGCTGGGAATCTCTTAATATACTTTCATCAAAAATAGGAACTCGGCAGCTTTATAATGTTCATAAACTGCCATCTATTCTATGCATTCTGAATTTTTTATGTTTTGTACCTTGAAAATCATGTTTATTTAGGTTTACTTTTTTAAGTTGGAGAGGGAACAGAGAAGTTATAATTCTTTTACATTGTTCATACTTGTGACGTTTTAATACAGTGCAATTGATTAATATTGAAAACATAAAATTTCTATACATACAGTAAATAGTTGGTTTAACTTTAACAGCTACACATCCTTACAAAATTTTTAATCTTTCCTTGTTTTTTGTAGTAACTGTCGAAAATAACTACAACAGTTTTAAGGTATAATGATGTATTGTGCATTCTCACAGTTTGGGAACCTCTGTATGTATAAAGCATTTAGATTTATGGTGTACAGTTGTGCATTAGCACATTGATAAAAGCTTGTTGATATAAACATGATGTCTACCTTGTAGAGGTCACCATGTTTACCAAAGCCAGACTGATGCAACTATCTTTATGTGAGATAGTTGTTTAACCTTGACAAGGCCTCATATGTAAAACAAAATCAGAGTGGTGTTAATGATGGTTTGTCATGCTTCACTAGTGTGACACATTATAGATTTATGGTTAAAGTAATTAAACAACATAAATACAATATACTGTATAACTACTAAACCTACATATTTACTACCTTCATTTTTAACTGGCATTTCCTCCACATGCAATGTAATGGTTATACTGTCATGACTTGGTTTCTCAAAATATATCTTATATTTTCTCCACAACAGACTTTATGGTCTTTTACATGAGTCGGGTTTCTTGAAATATATAATGACACTTCCTTCATCCTGGATGTTAGGGTTGTATGGCCTGGACTTACTCACCAGAGCTTAGTTTGGTTATAATGGGAGGACCAAGCAAAGGTGAGACTGACGTCAAGGTGGGAAAGATTTTATTGTTGCACATCCTAAACCTTATAATATTAATCAAAAGAAGATCAATCCAGCATGGAAATATGCGGCATGGGAAAAATGGTGCATAACAACAGTGGGAATGGGTAGAAAACCACAAAACAGAACAGAAATATAAAAGAAGAATTATCTAGAAGGAATTGTTCTCAAGATATCATACTAAAAACGATAAGGATTACTAAATGGGGCAAGTCACACTGATCATAAGTAGCAAAGAAATTAGTGGTAATGCTGGAAGTTAGAGGCAGACACACAGGGTTGAATAACTACAAAAAACTGCAGGTGACACTCATGAAAAAGTGTGTTAATACAAAGAATAGTGTACATAAGAAGAATGCACAGTTTACATATCAGGATAAACATCATTTGAGAATTATACAGTGCTTGCCAACATAGAACACAGCATATACATAACTGAGAGGGCAGTAATTACAGTGTATGCCGTGTATTTATCGACATGCAACAACACATCATGGAATACTTGCTTGCACACGTCGTAACCTGTCTGCATCACTGGTTGCCACAGCAGCATGAAACGTTGCTGTCAGATCTTCAGTATCAATCCGTGGATTCTTGTAAACAATTTCTTTCAGGTGTCCTTAAAGGAAGACTAGATGGTTTAGGTCCATTGATCTCACAGGCTGTGATACAGGGCTGCCATGTCCTAGCCACCTGTTAGGAAGCTGTGTGTTGAGGTGCTGTTGGGTCTGCACAAAAATGCACCATTTCCCCATTCTATTGAAGCCAAATATTACAGCAAACTGCCATTGATAAATCTTCATGCAGTACTGGTAGCATTTCCTGCAGAAACACTCAATAAACAGGGGCATTGAGGCAATTGGGTGGTAGGTATGTCCTAGCCACACAGTTGCCTATGATACCGACCCACACATTAATGCTCCAGTAGTGTGTTAAATGGAGATTATGCTGTGCCCACAAGTGGATGTTGTGACTGTTGAAGACATCTTCATGTGTGAATGCTGCTTTGTCTGATCATAAAATGTGCCTCAAAAAGCCTGGATCACATTCATGTTCTGCCAAAGCCACTTGCAGTATTGGAGATGATGATAATCTTGAGACACAAGATGAGTGGACCTGTGGATAATGATATGGGTACAGGTTTTGATCCTTGAGGATTAAATAGACAGTGTGGTGTTTTCACCCACCTCAATTCCTCATGCATTGTGACATGGAGTCTGTGCCTCCATATTCATAATCATGTCTTCAAGTGCTGGTATCTGGCAAATGCATGGTTAACTCCTATCCAGTGATGGTAGGGCATTGCCAGTCTCCCTCATACTCTTGCCAGTAAAGCACATTACTGCCTAAATGGTGGCATGCTGCATACCATTCCACATAAGCTCTGGCTGCAGCATAGGCCCCTTTACCACAAGCACCAAGGATCAAATACATAGCACAATATTCGTGCAACATAAAGTTCATTTTGCTTACCCTTGCTGATGTGTTACTACCATGGGATGACCGCACAATACAACTGTAAGTACTACTGTGTGCTTAGTGTTGATCACTGTTGACTATGGTATTGCAGGGAACTATCTTCATATTTCATGTCCTGTGATCCTTGATCCTCTCACATTGTGATTAATGTATTTGCTACATTTGATAGTTTTGTAAAAATTCCTTCCAATGAATTATTCTTTTTACATTTTTGTTTTGTATCAAGGTTTCCTACGCTCCCCCATTGTTATTATGCAATTTGCTGACACTATATATGTTACCAGTTATTCCAAATACATTTATATATCATTTCACCACCTTCACATCATAGACTGGAAATTATAATAGCTTTGGGAAACAATGTTTTTTACTTTGTAGATGGCTGTTTTCTGGGTTGTTGCTCTGTGTCATCTGGTAGAAGTTTACTGACGTTTTACAGGTCCTTGCTGCCTCCGTCATTGCCTTGATGATGGCAGCAGCAAGGACCTGTGAAACATCAGTAAACTTCTACCAGACTACATGGTACAACAACCCAGAAGACTGCCATCTTCAGTCAGACTCAATGATGTGTGAACCTCAAATCCTACATTTCTTACATTGATTTTTAGGTGTTAACTATCTGCAATCACATTATGGATGATGTTATTCCTACTGAGAGAGCAAACAGGGACTTCCGTGTCAAATTTCCAGATGATGTAATGCAGGAAAACTTGGCTGGTCAACTATGGTTTGGTGCTGAAGTGAGTGTCTCATCATTACATTAGATATGTATAGCTTAGTGATTTCAACAAAGCTTCCATTTAAGGTTTCTCTGATGGACATTGGATTTGAGAACAGAATAAAACGCTGTGTGGGGGATTTTAATATGTAAGTAATTGACTCAGGGCTGAACCCTGAGTGGGGGTAGTACCTAAAATTCTTCTGAAGTTCATGGAGTAGACAGTATTGCCTGTTCTAGATTCACTGATCAGTCCATATTTTCTTTGGTTGTTTCAGATTTCTATGTCCCCTGGGTATGTGTGTTTTAATGAAATTTCAGGTATCCTTTCATCATTCATTGACTATGTGCCCCAGAAATTTATGTACCTAATGCTGCATTGTTCTTATAAGTAGGTTGCTTATTTATTTATTTTATTTCATATGTGGATTGGAAGTTAATAGTTTCCTAGTATGTTATTGTTGTGTTCACAGCTAATATCATACCCTAAATATTTAATGTATGCCACATGTTATGTAATATGATTATTTATTACTGTGTGTGTTTTTTTGGTGTAGCACCTCTCAAATTGTAGATCTCCACACCAGCCCTACACTTTCCATTAAAGAATCCATATATGAAATTCATTTTAGCATATTCCTTTTGTAAATGTGAAAGGCTGGAGGGTATTTGATTAATAATTTTGCACTACTGAGAACAACTGCATCAGCGTCTACAACAATCAGACTGAGAACAAATGTGTTTGTTACGATGACTGTAGTTTGCTGCACTACACTGACTGTTCTTTCAGTACTGTTATGAATTGAACTATTGTTTATAGGACTCTTTTGCTCGAAATAGCCTGTAGAATATGCTCCCAAAGTCTGGCATTTGCATGATTGGACACTATATTTTCTACAGAAGCATTCATTGTATAAGGTATTGACGGTATTAAATTATAAACATTAACGTGATGCTTTCAGGCCAAATTAAAATATACTTCTCAGAATACTCTTTTTAATGACGTGCTTTTATTTCTAGTGTTTGGCTGCTGGTTCTAGCATCATGAATCGCGAGGGTGAAAGTTCGGCAATGCGGCCATTAGCAAAAGCATTAACAAAGGCGCTGGAGAATGTTCGCAACCTCCTTCGAGAACAGTGTCTCCGTGGAAACACTAGCAACCTTGCTTTGAAGCCAAATTTAGCCAGTGGGATTAATGAAGTGATTGGAGAAAGACTGCAGGAGGCACTCAAGATTTTTGATCGCCTCTTTGCAGAATTTGAACTGTGTTATGTGAGTGCGATGGTGCCTGTGAAGTCAACCAAGGAATATGAACTGCAGCAGTTAGTTGTTGTTTTGTTCTCTGAGACATTGCAGAGGTATAGCAATTGATATTTATCATTTCCAGTGGGTCTCTATATTTTATATTTACCTAGGTATGAAACATGCAACCTTCCACAGGTAGAACCCCATTTTCAATACCGAATTGCATTATGTTTCTCTTTTCTGCCTCCTGCCATCAAAGAATGGTATCCCTTTTTTGCACTAAATTGCTATAGTTCATAAGGTGACCAAGGATGAAATATTAGGAAGGTAAAATGTGACTTTTTCACACAAATTGCTTTAGTCTGAACTGTTGCAATAAATATATATACATACACCAATAACAGTGATAATTTTGGACAAGTAAAAAGGCTAATTGTTATAAGCCAGGGGTCGTCAACCTTTTTATACCTACCACCCACTTTTGTATCTTTGTTGATGGTAAAATTTCCTTACTGCCCACTGGTGCTGCACGTACTGCCCACCACCATGAAAGAGATACAGCTCGAAGACTGAGTGATAGCCGGTGGTAAGTCCCACCCTCGTCATGCGCACTAAACTCGTGCCTTTGGTTACGGAGTTCATTTGTTGCTCCCTCGTCCACGAGTAAACTTCGAGAAGTGTCTGGTGAATTATTATCTATATTCAAAGTTTAGAGATGGAATTCAAAAGTAAATTGCAAAACCATATTTTAAAAAGTCAAACTTGTGAAGTTGTTAGCAATGTATTCAATACATGGAGGAAGAACAAAATTTGTAACAACGGACAAAAAACCCCACCGCCCACCATGAAAGCTTGAATCACCCACTAGTGGGCGGTAGGGACCAGGTTGACGACCCCTGTTATAAGCGTATATACATTTGCAGTATGGATTATTTTGTGACTTCATTCATATAACTTATAAATTGCTATGTTTGTAGGGATTATTAACATTTGTTTTCTCATCTAATTTTCACATTATTTGTTTACAGAGCATTAAAAATGAATCTTCTAACAGAGGAGATGGTAGATGACTATGATCCAGCGCTTATGTTTACAATCCCACGTCTTGCCATTGTTAGTGGTCTGCTTATTTTCCCTGAAGGTCCACTGTGCCTCGACAGAACACCTGCTGATATGTCTGAAATGTTCCGTCCTTTCAGGGTTAGTATTATTTATTAAAGACAATTTATATGCATCATGTGCATAAAGTGAATGCATAATCAAGATGACTATACATTACCATGTGTTATGTAAGACTTGAGGTTCTCACAGCGCAATAACCCAGAAGACGGATATCTTCTTACCATGTGTTGTTTGCATGATGTGCATTAATTATACTCATATTAGGGCTGATCATGTCTGTCCACATGATTCAACTTAACTCTAGTGCCACTTAACCCTTCAGCGTGGGAGCATTTAAATCCCAAGTCTATACCGTGCTGTGGGAGGAGTTTCTGCTTGGGGATTTAAATTTGAGCCGAAAGTGCATCATTTTACTTATATGGGCACAACTTCCCTAATAATTGATGAATTTTAGTGAAACTTTGAACAAAATGTTCACAACACTCTATGCTTTATAGAAAGGTAAAAAATTTACCTTAAAAGTTGAGTTTTGTGTGGAATATCTCTCTGCATAGCGATTTGTTTCACGCACGATTAGAGATATCAGCTCGTGAGTGAAAAAGAGTTTGAACACATTCACAGATTCAGTCACACTTTTCACTTCATTTTGAGGCCCAAAATTGCCGACAAATTGTTCTCTTTGCCCTACATAGTTGTCCATGTTCTCCCATGTAAAAGCAGTAGGAAGTGCCACACTCGGTAAACTGCTCCCACTTTGTTCACCGTCATTGTATTCATTTTCAGATTCGTCACATGTAAGAAATTCACGAACAGGTAAATCATCGATTACACTTGATTCATCATCTGAATCGAACACGCTACTTTCGGAATCAGTGAGAGGTTCGTCTGGTCAAAACCTTAAATTTATTACCCTATTTGTCTTCCCTAGAGAGGGCCACAAAGCAGAGGCTGAATGCAGTTGAGTTCAAAAATTTATCTATATTTCAAAGTCGAAAAACACTGGTAAAATCGATCTGTCAGAGTCATGTTATATATCAATCGATAGCCAGCATTTTTCTCTACATGGCTACTGGATCCAGAATACATAAAATACAAGGTCAGTCGCTACGAAGAAGGAGAAGTCTTAGCGCGCATTCTGCGAGCAGTGCTCGGCACTCCACGCCATGGGATGACTACGTCATGACGAGCGATGTTCGGCACTCCACACTGAAGGGTTAATATACAGTCATATGATGAAAACTACACAACTTTGATACAGTAATTATTTGTGCAGTGTAAAACAGTTATATGGTTACTGGATGAAACAAATTTCACTTGTACAGGTTTCTATTCCATGACCTATGAATTGAATGAGTCTAGTAAACTACCACAGAGCTTACTCATGTTGCATTGTATTATTATGGATTGTGTTACTTAAAGTTATTAAAACACATGTTTTATAAATTTAGAAATTAAATTTGTTTGAGTGAGATACAGTCATTTTCTTTTGCAAATACGTTTTTATTAAAATTAGCGGGTTAAAAGTCATTTCAGTGTTTATCACAGGTTGTACATTTTATTTGTTGATAGTTTGTATTGTATACTGAAACAGAGTTAAGGCCATCTTTTGAAACTTTTCACTCAATAGTCAGTTTTCAGTAAACAGAGGAAACAGTACAGAAAAAGGAAAACTGTCTGTAAAATGAATGTTCATGTGTTTTAGTTATGATAATGATGGTAATGATGGAATTTTTATAAATTGGATTATAATTCATGGCAGATTTTTTTGTGAATAATAAGATAGTAGGTAAGAGTTAATGAATAAATCATATGTTGAAATGGTATGAATGTGTTCTTACATTAATAATGTCTTCTCGGGCTATCAGCCGTGTTAGATGGTCATTAATTGCAGACATTTTGAGGACCATCTCTATCCTCATTTTCAAGGCTGTTTACTAACATGGCTGATAGCCCGAGAAGACTTGTTAATGAAAGCCATCATGAAAGCTTCACATCATATGTTCTTACATTGTCTGCAATCTGTTGCCACATGTTTGTGGGCAATACTTAGGCTAATGTTACTGTACTGTATATATGATATGGCATATTTCTTTGCGTCTTAGCAGCATTCAGAATTCAAAGGTAAAAGGAATACATGTGGAAACTGTATATTCTGGTACAGAGTACATATTTCCAGTCTTGTTCCATCCATAATTCCATCAGATCATATACAGTGAAACCTCTATCCATCGTTCCCGGAACTATCGTTTTCCCGGATGCATCGTCCGTTTTGTTCGGTCCCGAATACATCCCATATAAAATAATGTTACATTTTCCCGCTTCTATCGTCCACATGAATATTTCATTTTCCAGACTGCATAACTTTTTACAAGTTTTGATTAATTGTGGCATGTTAGTAAGCACTGAAAAAGTTTTGAGGTTTAATTTTGTTTTGTTGCTGGAACTCTAGGCCTTCTAATTCTTGTGAAGGTTAAAGCAAACTTAAGTGAATCTCCCATTTAAGGTTTTCCTGGGGAACAAACATTTTGTACCTTAAATTAAGAAAAACCTTAAATGGGGGTCATATAAAAATGAAACAGAAAGCAACCCTTTTGGTTGTAACAATGCTTGTAAAGTGTAGAACTTGCATGTGACTAACATTCGCGTGTGGATGTTTACTATGGGCCCACATGCACAACCTTGCAACTCCAGTCACCTCACAATGCCTCATCAGGCCATGTGGCTTAACCAATCAGTAGTGGCAGGGGAGGAAGTGACTTAATGATCAGCAAGAGAGGAAAGGACTTCACATATTTCTTGCAGCTACTCATTGGTGTTAATGTTGAATTGTGTTCATGTGAACACTTAATTAGGGTCCAGATTCCATGTCTGGACCTAAACTCCATTCTTTAAATGGGGGAAGAAGCTTAGATTAAGAAACACTAATCCATGTAAACAGTTTATTATATGGAGCTGTGACTAGGATCACAAAAATTAACACAAAATGTGTGATAACCTTAAATCAAGAAGCCTGTGAAATGGCTCATCACACTAAAAGATGTTTGCTTCATGAAGTATATATGACATTTAAACATTGATTTGAACCATTTTTTGTTATTGTATTTTATTTACATAATTATGCAGTGTTATACCTTGATTGTCTTTATTATTGGTTTACTTTGTTATCAGTATGCTTATCTCCATAGTAAATGAACATCAGGACCAAATTATATTGAAAACATGCTGGAAACTGTTTATTCTGACTTTTTTTTTTAATATAATGGAGTTTGGTAATGACTTTCTTAGTGTTTAGTGATTTATGTTCACTAGTAAATAGGAAATTTATTTGCATCACTGATGCATTTTGTGTTATCTTGAGCATAATGCATGTATTACAAATCAAATTTGCTTCTCTGTGAGCTTCTGTAACTACTATAAATCTTTCAGATACGGGTTACAAATATAAGTTAATGAGTTAACTTTAACTGCCATTTGGGGTATTTTGTCAAATGTGAGATGTGAATGCTGTTTATTTGCTGTGTTACTCATTCACATGTCAAAGTAATTGGTAATTTTAGATACCATCATGCAAAGTACAAAGCATAAACAGAAATGTACATGGCATAGGTTTCAGTACAGCTACTATATACCCAATGTTATTAAAAAATATTAAATGAAACTCAGTAATAGATATAAAGTTTTAAGTATTTTTTATGTTTATTTGTTGGTTATTTTATTGGGTTATATCAACTACGAGGTTGTTTAACATTACATGAGTTGATTATCTATTGAACTGAAGTTTGTGATAGTGGTAGTTCAGGTGCTACTTCAGCATTGTCCTGAATAGACTGTTTGAAAATGATGAATTTCATCAGTATCTGGTATTAGAACTGAACTGAACTGAACTGGCTGCCTCTTGAGTACTTAAGTTGCATTGCACCTGATCAGATCTCCTTAAGGAAGGATGTTGCAGGAATGGATATATGTACCCTATTATTGGTGTACACGTGTTCTTCAAATGTTATCTTTGCAATTTAGTTTATCTTATTGACCTTCAGATTTTGTTTATTTCGATTAGAGATCTGTTATTGCATAACTAAGAACATGAACAGTATCACACTGCATAAAATTGGAAATTATATTACTTTGTGTTTTGTTAGAGGTGAATTATATCATAAAATGTTTAAAATAATTTTTTTTATCTCAGCCATTATTAAGGAAGCTGATAAAGTTTGTCTTTTAAACTGGGATTTACTTTAGCCTTATTTGAACCAAAATTAAATTTATTTTACAACTTATAGTGTAAGCACTCGGTACCATCATCTTCTGTTGAATAGATTTGGAAACAAATGTGACTTCCACATTATGTGTTCATTTTATGAACTTTGTTTGAAGAATTTGTTTTGGAACTTCATAATAATTTAGCACTTAAATGCATTAATCTTTAAAACTTGTTGCATATAATTGTTCTGATTTCTGACATGCTTACTTTATTTACAGACTTTGCTACATAAGATACGTGAGTTATTGTGGACATTGAATAGCAAGGAACTGTTTACTCTTGAAAAATTTTTGTGTTCATCAGAAGAACCTATTGACTTTCGTTCTTCGGGCCATTCAGTTGAAATTGACGAAGCTGCTGAATCAGTCGGAACAGCCAACGCAGCCCCATCGTATCCCACAGTGCCTGATCTTGATGATTTCGTCACTCGCTTTTACATTGACTACCCAAGCTGTAAGCAGTTTGTTACAGACTTTTATGCCAGTACATCTTCAAGAAATGTTGGAGAAATTCAAGATCCCCTTAACAATGGAGTGAATGAAAATATTTCCAGAATTGAGTTGTGTGCCAGTGTTACAAACATATTCAGGACTGAGGAAGAAGCAAAAGTATGTGACAGTGAAGTTGTTCCATCATGGGAGAGCACTGAAGAAAGTGAAGATGAAACTGAGTATGTGGGTGAAACTTCAGAATGTGAAACTGTTGTTACAGGTGCATATGAGTCGGAAGAGATTACGAGTTCTGTTGAGAATGACGGTAATACTTTGACATCATTACCAGAAGATTTCCCAACAGAATATAGTAATCCTGAGTTGGGAGAAAACTTGGTACTTGGAGAACGTTTAAGTACAGGTCAGCAGTCAGCATCATCTTCCTCATCTTGTGCTTCCAACCTTGACTTCCAGATGAAAACATATGAATCTGCCAGGCTTACAGCCACTACAGTAGAGTCCCAATATTCTGATTCCTGCAGTCACTTGCCATATTCAGATACAATTAAAATTCCCACACCTAGTGTGTGTGGATTTCTTCTTGCTAACCAAGTGGGTCATGAGTCAATGCTTGCACATATGGAAAGAATTACAAGTCCTAGAATGCCAGACCTATCTCCGGGTGCTGGAGGATCACTTCCTGATGGGGATTCCCGTGAAGCTCTGTCAGTTGCGACAGCTACTCTGTCCACTTTACTGCTTAGCAGCCCAAATGTTTCTCCTGTTGGTGATGTGTCAAATGACATTGAAGAAGATTCAAGTATTCAGTCACCTTTAGATTCTGGAGTGGGCACTGTTGTAAGTTATAGTGACACTGGAAGTTTTTCAGACAGATCGCCTGATACAGCTTCAGCTCCTTCATTGATATCAAGTGAAACAAAAATGACAGAGAATTCATGTACTGCTCAGACTTGCTGTAATAATGCTCATAAATGTCAACAACAGTGGCAAGTTGAAACTATTCCATGCAGCTGTACTCTGAGTGATAGACCAGCAGTGTCCAGTAACCCTAGCAGGTGTGTGAATGAATTACAGAATTGTTCTGCTGAGTCTTACAGCAGTGTTAGCACAAACACAGGAGGTGGATCATGTCAGGATTTTGATGTGGATGGGTGTTTTATAACTGTAGTTAGAACATGTAATGATGATATCTGTGATACGACTGTGGTTGACAGTGGTGAGAACATTGTGGCTTTTCAGGATTGCTTCTTGACTATAGAAGCAGATAATGTTGACAAAGAGGATCTAATATCATCTGATGTTGGGTCTTTCAAAGTTTTAAGTGATGGAGATAAAGAATTCGCAAATTTTACGTCCTGTAGTGAAAGTAAGAGGGACAGGGTTTTCTGTAATGAAACCACCACTAGAAATTTTAGTCCAACTTCTAGTAGTTTTCAGAACAATAGCCAAGAGACAAATGTTCTTATGTCTCATAATGTAGGTAACTTTAGTTATGGTGCTGCAAATGTCAGTAATGCTGCATCCTGTAATATTGATATACCGCAAGAGTTTGAAGAAAATACTGATGATCCTAATGGAGGTGAGATTTACAAGAGGACAGTAGGGCTTATTAACGATGTACCTGTAACTACCTTCCAGTTGAATGGGTCAAATAAGGACATGGTTGTTACATCAAGTGGGAGACATGAACAAAACAAAACCTTGCCTTGTATTGTGGTGAAGGTGGATGGGGAACAAGACAAAGGTGGAAGTGAAAAATGGTTTGGTGTAGCAAATGGAGAATGCCAGTGTAGTTTATGCAGTATCAACAATCATGATGGAGCTCAAAGTCAAACCTCAGATTGTCTCCTGAATAGTGCAGGCAACTGGGAACATCGTATGATAAAGCAGCAGAGTGAAGTGCATGATTCAGGTTTAGAATGTGCAACACAAATAAGTAGTCATTTGGCTCAGAAAACAGCTGAAATTGGAAGGATAGTGGGAAATAGAAATGTTTTTCTTCAGACTAGTTCCTCACAAAATGTTGCATCTGATACAAATAATCAGCCTGGTGGATCAACATTGGCAGTAATTCCTAGTCAAAGTGGAAGGTGAGCATCTTGATTTCTGCTATAAGTTTCAGAAGGCTAACTTGAATTTTGTTGAAATAAGTTTATGTGATCTGTGCTAGTCCCATGCCTTTTAACGTCCAATGTAACTTACTGTTGCCATGTTGATGTGTTAGAATAGTTTGGCATAAGATAGGCAGATGGAAGCACATAATGAGTCTTCCCAGTGCAGAAGGGCTTCTTCCTGTGGCTCTACAACCTAGTGTGGGTCTTGGCTGCCTCCTTTTGGAGGTTTCTTGAATGTTCAGGCATTTGGTAGGACTCCTTGGACAAGTGATCAGCCTGTCACAAGGCCTCTACCTACTTTGTACTCAATCCTGGTTTGTCTGCTATAGCCATCTAGTAGAGAATAAGGAGAGACATGGGTGGGAAATTCCACTAAGTTTTGCTTACGAAAGAGCCGGGATAGCTCAGTCAGTATAGTGACTAGCTACGGGCTGGACGACTGGGGTTCGATCCCCGACGGGGGCAGAGGATTTTTCCTCTAGCCTCTGGGGCCCACCCAGCTTCCTCCACAATGGGTACCGGGGTCTTTTCCCGGGGGTAAAACCGGTCGGGGCGTGATGCTGACCACTCACCCCATCTAGTGCCAAGGTCAAGAAAGAGAGGAGCTATACCACCACTCACCCCAAGTGCCTGTATGGCACGTAGCGGGATAAACTTTAAACTTTGCTTACGAAATTTCTTGTTAATGCTCGTAAGGCTCTTTTACATTCCAACATGGGACTGCTGACTTTACTTCCCCTCGAAGGAAGTTCAACTACAGATTTTATGACCCTTAAAAATCCATTGACCTTGGCCGGGTTTGAACCTGCAACAGTGGCGAGCACACTAACCACTAGTCCACTGAGGGCAACAATGCAGAAGGGCTGTTCCATGTTAATCTTTTGTCACTTATATTGCGCTGCCTGATACAGAAGTGACTGAGTGGCATGGGAGTGTTTGAACTTAAATTTGTGAGATTGAAATTCTCACAGTGGTGATGATTATTACATTCTTGTGAGTTGTGATACTGTAGAGTCACAGGTAGATACTAGAGAACAGCAATGTTAATATAAAGTTTATTTTATTGTTATGTATGTTTCTTAACTCTTTCACTGTTGAGTATTAAAGCCTAGTGTAACCTCCTGTGCTGAATTAATTTTGTAGTGCTGCTTCACCACTTTCACTTGCACTTGCACTCACACTCATACTGTATTGTCTAATTCACTTTCAGACTCTATAGTTATCAATAAGTATGTAATTTCATCATCTATTATTCCATGCAGCCAATGGGATCTGCTAATAGTTGCCATTTTAGCTATCCCTATGATGGCCAAGGTGAGGTGATATGTAGAGTAGGGTATTCCCACTGCTAGTTGCAGTAGTTTCTAAATTCCTTTACAGGCAGCATACAGAGTCAGCAAGAAGTCTGGTGTGTTGTTCATTGTATTTGTGTTAGATTGAAGTATATGTGCTGCAAGTTTTAATGCATTCAGAACCTTAGTTTCAATTATGTGTGTTTATAAACAACCCACCCATATGAATATGAGCACAGCAAGGACACCATATTGAGTCATGCATGTAGTATTAGAGGCTCAGCAACATAAAGGAAACTTTAAAGTGTTTATAATGATTACATTAATTATAATAAGGATGACATTAACCCTCTGAATATTTGGCATACCATTTAGATTCACATTTCTTGGTGTTATCAGATTGTTTAATTGAAATGTCCTTTCATTGCATTCATGTATAATAATCGTGACTGTATGGAAAGTCTGCTCATTTGTTATTGAATACATGTTTAATACAATTTAATCATAATGCTGAATTAAACACCAGCATAAAGTTGGGACCACAATAATACATCATGCATTTGGTGGCCTTGAAATTTTAATGCTTGCACAAGTTCGACTTTATGGACAAATAAGCCACAATTTCTTAGAACTTGCAGAGATCAATCTTCTGTAAGACCTCTTTGTAGTGACCCTTTAAAACACAGTAGTAACTGTATATGTCACATGCTTTAACATTGAGTAACTCTTCATTTATGAGTTTCATATGATTCTCAGAATAGACAATGTTTTTTTTTCCTTCACAATATTAACCAATCAGTGATGTAATAGAGACACAATGTTTTCTTTGAGGTAGGAACTGAATATTTCAATACTAGAGGAAAAGGCCCATGAAATTCAACAAGAAATTATTTATTCGGTTTCTTCATCCTTTACCACTTTCTTCTTTGCCATTATTTCTATGCACTTTTATCTCCTTTAGGCATACTTATAAAATCTACCTAATGGTAGCTGCATGTGAAAAATACAGTACTTTTCCCATTTAGTGTCATTGAGAACATGGGCAGTCATGCATGATGAGCACATGAATCATAAAATGTTTTCTATTTTATGACTGTGTGCAACTGTGCAAACCCCCCCCCCCCCTCCCTCCCACAATTCATTCTAGTCACTAGTCTGTGTTGAACATTATTACACTTCTTTGCACAGAGGCTCACTAGGTAATATTACTTTCTTCCATTATGTAGTGATAGGAAGTTTCTAACAACTTAATTTATTTCATTTGCTTTCAGTGATTTTATAATTTTTAATCACATATGGTCTGGGTAATTATGACAGATCTTTGATTTTAATATTAAGACATTTATTCTAATATTTTAGATATCAATGGTTAAGTCTGCTAGTAATGATTTAGGTTTGTAGACTGTTGTTTTTACCACACAGTATGAGAGAAGGTACCTGACTTTTTACCAGTTCATAAATCAGAAAAGTCTGGGAAACACTTCCACTGCATTAGATAAGCCATTGGGAATGAAGGCAATATTATTTTTTCAACAGGTTTATCTGGAGATGCTGATATGTGAATTTTGTCTTCTGTGGTTTGCAGGCAAACAACCAATTGTTTGTCTTGGTTGCTAATTGTGCCTTGCACTTGATAATTGCAAAAGAGTTTAACTGTGGTCATTTATAAATATTGCAAGCTTCAGCTGTCAGTTCTTTTGTGTGTTTGTATAAAATAAATTTGTGTTAAAATTTTATACTGCTTATAAAGAATGTGTGTGTGTGTGTGCTGTTAGGAGCCTTGATGTGCCACTAGCTAGCAGCTTTTCTTCTACAAGTTCAAGTTGCCAGAGTTCAGTCACAGTAAGTTCTGACAGGTAAGAAAACTTCAAATCCAATCCAAACTAACTCTCCCTACCATCAGATATGAGTAAGTAAATTTAATCTAATTTATATATCCTTAATTTGTTTCCCTAAGATCCGGTTTAATAATATCCATGCTCTTTCTCCTCAGTCTTACAGTGATCAGAGAAACATTTTTCCCACATAATCACATCAGAATTACTTATTATTATTTTAACAATAAATCTCTGTGCTAGAAAATTATTGGATGATGTATTTTTTAATACAGTCAAGTCCTGTTAGAGCTCTACACTTTTACCACCACCAATATTGTTGTGGCAGTAAATTTAAACTTTCACCCCCATTCAGAATATCTCCAACACAATGCCAGCTGAGGAGTTCATCCCATGAAAGGTACAAATCAGTTTACAATATTTTGCTGGCATGCACTGGGATGTTGTTCTTTGTAGGCACATACGCCCCTTTTTTACCAACACTTCACAGTCATTTGCCCCACATCAGACAAATTCAACTTGTTGGTACTGAATTTTAAGTGTGTTTCTATACTGTATCTTAGTTATTAAAAGTGTGTGGAAAACACTTGCATTATAGAAGAGCCCACTACCCTTTCAATGAGGGAAAAAAGAGGGGGATTGATCTGTAACTGTTCTACCAGAATTTTTGGAATGTAACCTGTTACTGTATGCTGCTTATTCTGCGTGATGTTTCCATTTTCAGATCAAGGTTTATCCTAGTAGCAGATTTGTTGTGACTGGATTTGCAATTTAGTTAATTATACCATTCACCCCAAGTTGCTGTAGGTAGTTTCTTACATGAGTGATTTTAACACAGTTGGTATACTGAATATTCCAGAGAGTTGTTTGTTTAGCCAATTGAAACAAAATGATATGTCAGTATATCAGATGTGATTATAATGTTTAATGGTACATTGTACTGCCACACATATTGGATGGTAGATACTTTACCTGGAGATTCTGTTTGTAATTTCATAGTGAATTTCTGTTCTGAGGCACATCATGAGTGTTACAATAAATAGAGGGGTGCTGTGTTAGGATTTGGCTTTACTTAATAGGACAGGTATCCCCTTGTTTCATAAATCATGTCTTCAGTCCATGAATCTTTATATCCTGTATTTATGTGCTGCATTCCTTTGTGTGTGCAATACTTCTGGAATCTCCCTCTTAACTCATTTTGGAAATCAGGCATATTATTCTTCCACATGGAGGCATGTGTACAGGGGTGCATTAGTATGTATTTGTTTATTTAATGCCGTATTTAGTTTATGTTTTAATGTGTTTGTATTATGATGTAAATATTGTCGTATTCGTTTTCCATCAAGAATAGTCTGAAACAAGATGCTTTGTCTCCATTGCTCTTTAACTTTGTACTAGAATACACCATCAGGAAAGTCCAAGATAGGCAGGAGGGGTTGCAGTTGAATGGAACACATCAGCTGTTGGCATATGCTGATGATGTTAATTTATTGGGTGATGAAAAAATACAATAAAGAGGAGCACAGAAGTTTCACTAGAAGATAGTAGAGAGGTGGGTCTAGAAGTAAATTCAGAAAAAAACTAAGTACATGTTAGTATCTCGTCGTCAGCAAGTCCTTTGAAAGGGTTACAAAGTTTAAATATTTGGTAACAACAATGACATATCAAAATTATATTCATGAGGAAATTAGGAGGAGACTAAATTCTGGAAATGCTTGCGACTTTTCAGTACAAACTATTTTGTCTTCCCATCTGATTTCTAAGAACCTAAAGATTAAAATATACAAAGCAATAATTTTGTCTCTTATTTTGTATGGGTGTGAAACATGGTCTCTCACTCTCAGGGAGGAACATAGATTGCTGGTGTTTGAGAATAAGGTGTTGAGGATATTTGGGCCTAGGAGAGAAAAAGATGGGGTATGGAGAAAATTGCATAATGATGAGCTTAAAAATTTGTACTCCTCCCCCAATATTGTCAGGGTGATAAGTGAAGAAGAATGAGATGGGTGGGGCGAGAGGTGTGGTTGGGAAGCCTGAAGGGAAGAGACCACTGGGGATGCCTAGACGTAGATGGGAGAACAATATCAAGTGGAATCTATGGGAGATAGAAGTTCAAGGCAATTGGATTTTGCTGGCCCAGGACAGGGACCAGTGGAGGGCTTTGGTTAATTCGGTGATGAACCTTCAGGTTCCCTAAGCCATCTAGTTAGTTAGTAGTTATGGATGTTGTACCATGTAATCTGGTAGAAGTGTACTGACATTTCAGAGGTGCTTGCTGCCTTATTACCCTGTTGATGGAGGCATGGTGCAACATCCCAGAAGACAGTCTTCATCATACTCACTGCCGTGAGTACCTGAAATCTCATCTTTGTATTTTATTTCAATATTATTTCACTTTTGAATTACTAAAAGATTACAGTGGCCTGGGGTTAGTTGTATTTCAGACAGGAATAATTTTATGTGGAGAGAAAGGCTGATCTTGTCGCCAAGTAGTGAGATCGTATATGCGGTAGGGTCTTTTGTACTTCATGTAATAAATTAATATGCGGAGGAATGAATGGTCTTCTGTACCACTATTTTGTATGTGGTTCAGTCTTCTGTACTCTGGGTCAGATATAGTGTTGCGTGCCTATGAATGATGATTTAGTTTACTAATTATAGTGGGGTGTACTGTCCATTCTTATTCGCTGTAGAATGGGTTTTGCTATACCTAGTTTATATTACATGGAGAATTCCACACTCAGTTCTCCATGTGTTTGGAGGGCAGAATGTAGTTGAGTGATTAGTATATTGTATATGGTGGGGTGGGGAGGGTCACTGGTTTGAAAATTAGATCCAGAGATCAGTTATCTTCACTAAGGTTTTTATTGTTTTCCTCAGCCCTCCAGGCAAATGCTGGAATAGTACTTTGAAGTAGGTCACAACAGTGTCATTTACAGTTTGTAATTTACAAATTATCCTATCTTTCAATGCTATGTAATCAATGTAGTTGGAAAAGTTGTTTTCAGATAGTGATAAATCAGTCAGTGCATTCAATGGGTTCTGTCATACAGAAAGTTAAATTAATGGACAATTTTGTTGTAAGTAGTGAAGTATACCTTAATACACACTCTTTGGGATTTGTTATGCCCCAAACACAGTGCTGTGGATTGCTGAATGTAATTAACTTCACTTCAGAGGACAGCAGTGGAGTTGAGATTTGGAGTTAGTTTTCAGTTATTATTTGTGGTTGGACTAGAATGACCAGCCATAATGGACTCAACTTGCAAGGTTTTGATGCTCTAAGAATGCTGTAGTGTCATAAAGATTGATATCTTTGTTTTCTTGGGAATTCTGTATCATGAGATTATGTTAGTTACCTCAGATGCTTGGGAATACCAGGCATCACATGCTTCAAAACCCCTGCTGCCTCAGGAATTGACTCAGACTTTGTCTAGGCAGGAAAAGGCAAGGGAAGTGGAATAGATTATAAGTGAAAGCATTAGCCACATCATCAGTAACAGTGATTTAATTTTACTGTGCTTTTTAATTTTTTTTATATGTTTTGATTTGATTTCTGCAGAGAGTTGTGCTAGTTAGGATTTTAGGTTTTCACGGCAGTGAGTCCAAAGATGACTTTATTCATATGTGCTAGTTACAAGGATATTATTGATCATTTTTCTTGAATTACTTTACACTTCCACTATCTTATTTCAGTTGCAGCATGAGCAGTGATACTTCGTCTTTCAATTCTGAATGCCAGGATGATGAAGAAATTGCTTTGGCAATGCAAGCAGCTGAGATAGCCAATCGAAATGAAGCCCGTGCAAAGTTCAGGTGTGTGCTTATGTTTGTGGTCTTATGGGTTATGATGTTGCATAATCTTATAGGTAGTTACAAGTGTTTCAGAGGAACAGGAGATGGTAACACTTCTGGATCTCTCCTCTGAACACGTCTGAACCGATTGCTATTTCATATATGACTGGTATAAACATCAATAACACCACCTCAACAATAATGTTATATTAATAATATCTATACACAACTTTCATAAAATATACTGAGAAAGATGATAAAATTATAAAATTGTAAAAACTATAAATAATTGTAATTTGAGTTTAAAAGTTTATAATTTACCCCTGATGACGGTTTGATAAACCGAAACATGTTGTTAATGTTCCGATGTAAATCGAATGCTCGATATGGAACATAAGATGATATTTTAATCATTTTAATTATCTTATCTTACTATTTTATTGTGATTTGACGGTAAACAAATATAATAATTATTTTAATTAATATCACAATATGACGCAGCTATACTATCTCCTGAAATGACAACTTAAGTATAAAATAATTTCTATTTAAAGAAAATGGTGTTGAAATAAGAGATCACTATATCATTAATTAACTTATTAGAATTTTTTTCTTTTGTCATCCATCTTGGATATCTCATTTTATTTTCACAGTATTTTAAATGTGTGTGAGTGATGCCAACATCTGGATAGCAATTATTTTTATGTAGTTAACTTTAGAGAATAATTTTCCATCCCTCCAGATGAATATCAGGATAATACATACATACATCTTTATTACATTCCATGGATCCATAAGTTAGTCAGATGACAATAGGATGTAGAATAAGTCATAATAATACAATACATGTTATACAAATACAAGTCATACTATTATATAAATGTCACAAAAATACGAACAAAGGGTTCACATAAAGCAGAGATAAGTTACAAATAAATCCACCCATTATATACAATAGATAAATTATGACTTACTTATAAACATTAGAAATTCATCGACAGAGTAAAAGGAGTGTGTAATTAAGTATCTTTTTAATGTTACTTTAAATTGTGCCTTTTTATTTACAAGACTTGTGAGATTTGATGGTAGACTGTTGAAAATTTTGATCCCTGCATAATATGCACTCTTCTGAAAACATGAGAGGTTGGCAATTGGTCTATGAATCTGATTATTATTCCTTGTGTTGACACTGTGTATAGCAGAATTAGTTTGAAAATGTTCTTGGTTATTTACAATAAAGTTCATTAATGAGAATATGTATTCACGTGGAAGAGCTAAGATTTCTAATATCTTAAACAGACTTCTACATGAATTCCTAGGTTTGACACCAACCATTAATCTAACAATTTTCTTTTGTAAAGTGAATATCTTTTTGATGTTTGATGAATTCCCCCCAAAATTATTCCATGTTTCATTAAAGAGTGAAAATAGGCAAAATATACTGATCTGAGTGTGTCAGTGTTGCTGACATGCAACATAGATCTAACTGCATAACATGCTCCGCTTAACTTAGGTATCAGTTTATCAATATTATTTGTCCAATTCAGGTGGTTATCAATTTGCAAACCCAGGAACTTTGTATTTACTGACTCAACAACATGAAATAGGACACAACCAGTTCCTTTTCTGTCCTTTCAGGTTCGTTGAATGTGATCAGTGTCTGATATAATGACACTAAATAACTGGTGCACTTAATACAGCATTCTTAAGTAAGAATATTTCCGTCTTCTGGGTTCTTGCGCTGTGTAGACTGGTCGATGTTAACCAACGTTTCAGAGGTCATACTGCCTCCGTCATCAGGGCGATGACGGAGGCAGTATGACCTTTGAAACGTTTGTTAACATCGATCAGACTACACAGCGCAACAACCCAGAAGACGGAAATCTTCATACTCACCGCTGTGGAAACCTCAAATCTTACATTCTTAAGTAACTTGCAGTCTGTCAGATCATATATATGGTATTTGCTTCTGTGCAGGTCAAGTGAGGATTTGGTTCATCGCTTGTTTGTGTGCATTGCTGGTGTGGCAGACCAGTTGCAGACAAATTTTGCAGGTGATCTTAGACACATTCTGAAGTGTGTGTTTCTTATGAATGCATCAAGTAGCATTAGCACAGAGGAGCAAGATTCAGAGGAAGGTCCTGTGACAGCTGTATCTGTTGAACAAGAATCACTTTCTTCCCCTTCAGGATATAATGGTAAATAAATACTCAGAGAGTTTATTAAATGGAAATGAACTTTTTGTTAATTTAAATACAATAATTAAATGTAACTGTGATCTGAAATAATACATATATAGAAATAATGGTATCAGAGTCTTTCTCAGAATTTTGCTGTTAGGGTTGCCTATTTTTAGCTGAATGTTCATGTTTTCAATTTATTTTTGTTAATTGGTCATCTGAAGTTGGCTTTATTCTCTTGAGTGGTATTAGGATTTATTCTGGGAACATGTAGTCTTAAACTTGGTGGATATGTTGAAATCAGTTATTTCTGATAATAATAAAGAAAGATATATATATATATATATGTAGTACATGCGTGTGTGCATGTGCACATGTGTGTTAATAGTGAATTGTAATTAATTTGAAATGAACAGTGCTAATTACTAATTAAAACAAGCATAGAATATGAAAGGAAAGAGAAAATGAAAAACAAAATGAAGCTCTGCTATTAAAATCTGACAGGTGATGTATGATTGGTAGAAGTTGGTGGGTTGGGTTCTGAAGTTTGGAATGATGATGTTTAAAAATAAATTTGTTACTTAATAATGAAAAATTAGTATTAATCTGTGAAATGTATTACTGCAGAAATTTCTTAATTGAAAAACATTCTTAAGTTTGGCGTTGTATATTATTGTAAACTTGTGCTATCTTGTTGCATGCTTTGGTACTTTATTGTTGGTATTTGAAAGAGGTCCATATTGGTTGGAAATCCTAAAGGGAAGAGACCACTTGGAAAACCTGGGTTTGATGGAGGATAATATTAAAAATTGATCTTAGGGAAATAGGGTTTGTAGGCATAGTTTGGACTTTTATGGCTGAGGCTAGGGACCACTGGCTGGCCTTTGTGAATGTTGTGATGAATCTTTGAATTCCATGAAAGTTTGACAATTTCTTGACTAGGTGAATATACTAGTAGCTTCTGAAGAAAGACTCTGCTTCAAGGAGTTAGTATTAAATATATATGTATATATACACATACAGGTAAACCTCAATTTACGCCGGGGATGCGTTCCTGGATGAACCGGCGTAAATTGAAACTCTTTTTATAATGTAAATCAATGGGAAGTCAATGACATGCATCCCCGGCACCCAAACATTGACGACTTAATTTCCTCATAAATTGACTTTGCCTTATCCGTGATGGTAATTTCAGTCAAGGGGAAATTATTATTATTATTATTATTTATTTTTTATCCCCCCCCCCATGGTATCCACCCATAGCAACAGTAATTTCTCCATTCTTTCTAAGTTTACTTCTGCTATAACTCACTTGCGTTGCACTTACTCTCGTAGCCTGTTGCATTGACTATTTTATTTTATATGAATTTTTCATTATGGTAGTCACATTACGACAGGTATCACCACCTTCTATTCTACGAATTACGTCCATCTTATCTTCTAATGCAATAGACCTACGCAACTTTTTAGCAACACATTCACTTCTCTTACCAGACATGGTGGCTCTTCTACAATTTTTAAATATGAAACAGTTGCTACTGCAGATTAGTGGTCAAACAACAACACAAACATGTTTGGCACATAGTTTTCAGCACATTCAATGTGTTAACAAGAAGCGAACTGAGCGCATTTTTCCTTACTCCCTCATCAGGCTGAATGCAAATGACTCACCTTGAAGAGTGACCAATGCTCACGTGACTGTTGTGCAATGTTGGCGGATTTTTAGGAGATTATCTCACAGCTACTTAGCAATGAGTGCAGAGGTGACTGCATTTATAATTTTTATTCAAAATCAGCGATGTAAGAATTATGATTTGAACTTTTAAATTATATTGTATAGCATTTCTGTTGTATTTAAAATATGTAAAGAACTGTAATATTTGAATTAGTAATTTTAATCATGAACTATATTTACAACATGGATGTCAACATGTACTTTCTGGATTCCTAGGTTTCAGCTCTGTATGTATGTGGTTCAAATGTTACAGTAACTCATTTGATACTGAATCATGAAGGACAAATAAATACTGCAATGGAAGCAGGTATTCAGTGATTTGGTGAACTAGTAACATGTAAATTATATTTTTGTTTAATTTTATTCAGAGTAGACTATGCTTACTCTGTATGTATGTGTAGTATGAAGTTCAGTTAGAAGGGTTGGCATAAATGCCCCTTGCACCATGACCTGTTGTGCTTCCCCATCTTTTTTAACTATTAAGCAGTCCTGCACTTTAAGGAAGATGCAGTAGTTTGCTTATTGGGATCTCATGCTCATTTGTAGTCACGTATTTGGCTCCTAAGTATCATTGTCAGAGTCCCAGAAGGTCCTTACATTTATGTAATAAGTGAGGTTGCTTTTCCTTGTTTGAACATGTACAGCAAACAGGATTATCTTTTAACAACAGTTTAAATAATGTGCTTTTAAATGACAATGTCCTGCCAACATCGCTGTTTGACTATATAGTTCCTTAGTCTGTCCTGGAAAGGTCCTTCGATGAAGTGCTTCATATTTTTCTGTCTGATAGTGGACTTCCATTATTCAGGGTGTTCTTTGTGGGTATGTAGACTGTTACTTTTTACATGTATTTTGTTATGTTACTTGAACATACAAATTTCATGTAAACATTTTTATCTCTGACTTTCAGATTTCTCGCGTCCTGTGGAGAATGCAGAAGAAGCTCTCTCAACAGGTTGGGAGTCTCCAGCAAGTCCAATGGAAGTGGAATCACCTCCACCTTGGATTCCAGATGACATGGCTCCTCGTTGTATGTCTTGTGAAGCTGTGTTCACTGTTGTTAGGAGGCGCCATCACTGTAGAAACTGTGGAAAAGTAAGGTTCTTCCAGTGATTCTTTATAGAAGAGTTGAAGTGTAGGCACATCAGTAATTTATGCTCTATTCTATAATGTATTTTATACTTAATATATTATACTCAGTATTGTAGAGCATTAGTCATGATGTATTGATGATTTCAGATATATGCATTTAGCTTGAACTCTTAACCCTTCTACTCCAGAGACTAAATAATTTTGAGTACTTTGAAGAAGTAGGATATGGGACTTGTATATTCACAAATGTTGCACATTCAGACTTTATAACGGAAACGTCTGTGGTGTAATAACATTTTGTTTAGATTTTATAGGGAAGTTCTGTAATTTCTGCAGAATGTGATAATGTGTTTTACATTATTGTAGTAATTCAGCTTAGTGTGGTAGTCCCCAAAGCACTCAAAGCAGAATCCAGTATCCCCATTAACACATACATACATGAAGTGCAACACAAATTTCTTTAGTTGTTACTGATTTTTAAGGCTGCAGTGGGGATTTTGATTTGGACATTTTCATTTTTCCCATTTAATGACTTAATGTGCAGAACAGGTGGGCTTAACAGTTGGTAACAGTTACTTTCTATCCAAAATATTATTTGTGTCATATGCTATACCAGGGGTGGCCAACCCGCGGGCCGCATGTGGCCCGCCTTGAACATTTTTCCGGCCCGCGAAATTCATCACACTTTTACAAAATATATTTATTTTATAATGGCCAAAGTAGTGAAAACCAATGTATTAAAAAAATACATTATTTGTGCATCCATATATTCAAAAATTATCTGTCGAAATTATGAGAAAAAATTAACTTTGATTTTAAAATAATATTCTTGCGAATATATGACAGATATTGCCTCTTTTATTCATGAGTTTACAGTTATATGTGGCCCGCGGAGTTATGATGCATTTCCAAAGTGGCCCGAAAGATCATTTGGGTTGGCCACCCCTATGCTATACCCTGTGTCACTGCCAGAAAGTTATATCTGTCCTTTGTAATCCAACACATCTTCCCATTCTAAATATGTTATTAATATCACCCCCCAATTTTTTCATTGTCAGTTAGTACATATTTATACACAGAATTTTCATTTTCGCTGTCTGACTATTAGCATTTTGAGACTTCCTCTCATTCTGCATATGAAAGCATTTGTTACAAAATGTTATTAATATTTTGAATGAATAAACAATATCAGACCAGATTTGCGATGATTTAACAATCAAGGAGTTGTAAATACTTCAGAGAAGGCAGTACAAAACAGAACACCTTGAGATATGTACATATCATTAAAAAATTCTCACATCTCAGTGGAATTCATCAAATAGAGATACAAGAAGGGTAAACCACAGTTTCAAAATATATGCATAGTCTTGGTACCATCAATCTGTAGTAGTCTGTACAGGATAGAAGCATTAGTTAATGTGTGGTATAGTGTATTGTATTGTGATTTTTAACTTACTGTTCCACAATTAGTAACAAAAAATAAAATTGAAAGTGCAGACTGAATTCAAATTATTGTTTTTCACATCATATCAGACACTTACAGAATATCTTGAAAACTGTAAAAATTACTCATTGGAAAGTGGTATTACCAACTTACTAAGTATGTTGGATGACATGGTGGAAAACAATCTACCCTGGTTGATGCTAATTTTAAATGCTTTCTTTGGAATCTTCCCTATCTCGTTAGTCTGAATGTTCATTAATTCCAGATATAAACCCACTGTTGAAGACTTAGTCACAACAGATACCTCACTGCATAGAGTAAGAAATTGTTTCTTATTGTATTTAATTAAGTATTCACTACATAAGAAATGTCAAACACAAGTTGTAGAGTGCATTGAGATTACACACACATGCATCATACATTGTACAACAAACTGTTTTTGAGAAAACTTCTAAAATTTGGTGTAAATTATATATACACGGTGTAACAAAAGTCTGTTCTCATAGGGAAAATAAATTATATTTATTTTTTATTTACTTTATTTATGTTACGTCATCATATGTTCAAATTGGGTTCCTTCTACATTCATACACATATTGATCTGCATTCTGAGATTGGTTGTGGCTCTGTAACATTTCGTCATCAATTTTTCTGAATTTGTTTATAATTGCGTTTTAAATTGTCAAGAGTATGAGGTCTGCAAGCACAGACCACTGGTTTTAACTGACTCCACAGAAAATATTCTAATGGTGTGAGATCTGGACTGCGTGTGGGCCATTTGTTTGGACCACAGCATCCAATCCATTGTCCAGGTAGGAGGTTGGATAACAAATTTCTGGACAGTTATATGGAAGTGTGGTGGAGTGCCATCTTGTTGAAAGAAGAAACACTGTGTTCTGCCAGAGGAAGATCAAAAAAGAAAAATTAAAATTAATTTAACTTTTAATTCACAAATTATTATTTCTCTATGAGAACAGACTTTTGTTACACACTGTATGTAAAAGTATGAGTTATATTGGACCATTGACTGACTGACCCTATGGGACATCAGCCCGAAGCTTTGGCCTCCTCCCATGTGGGAGGATTCTTTGTCTTTGAAGTGTGCACACACACAAGCCCACTGCCTCTGCACAATTTCCACTCGATCCTGATTTGTCTGCTAGAGCCATCTAGTAGTGAATCAGTAGAGACTTGGGTGAGAAATGGCTGCTGAATTTTTGCTTATGAAACATCTTGTTTATGCTCATAAGGTTCTTTTACATGCCGTAAATCTACGACATGGGACCGCTGGCTTTACTTCCTCTCCAAAGGAAGTCATGCTGTGGATTTTTATCACCCTTAAAAATCCATCGACCTTGGCCAGGTTTGAACTCGCAAACTTTGGGTCCTGTGGCAAGCATGCTAACCACTAGTTGACTGAGGGCGACTATGTTGGACCACAGACATATTATATCACTGATGAGGACTCAGACAGCTGCTGAAACATTAGTTGTTGTTTTGTTTTTCTTTCCTTTCATTCACCTGATTCAGTTGATTGCCCATGAAGACTTTACCACAAAAACTTTTCCTAAAGAGAGAATCTGACAAACTGGCAAGGTCATTCTCCCTCTCTCCATCCTTTATTTTGAGATTTTCAGACTGATTTCAATGCTGGATCAGCTTGATATTTTTTAATTTGTTGGCCTGAGTATGATATTCAATCTGAAACAGTTAGTTCTAAGAAGATATAGAATTTACAAAGGGTTGTGGTCAGTTGAAACCCTCCAATTTGGCTTCTATTTTGCATTATGGTAGTGGACCCTTCTCTGACTACCTGGCCAAAATATTAGGTGTCAGCACTACACTGTTATTTTTAATGCAGAATTTTGTTTTGCACTGTCTTTTAAGACTTTGCATTTATTTATTCTCTTTCTTCCTTTATTCACATTTGAGAACAAAAGGATTGCAGTTGATTTCTCGAAACATTATGACCAAAATTAAGTTGTTACTACACAACAACTTTCACAATGTCTGATTGTCAGTCTGAACACTAGCTTTTATATTCTTATGCAAAGATGATTGTATGTTTGATTTTTTCTTACACAGTCACAGAGTCCCCTCCAAAGTTTGTGTGTGAGAGATTGTTTAGAAAATTCCACTTTGTTAGGACAGTTTAATGCACAGGGAATGATAAAGGTACAGTCAGTTGCCTATCAGTATTGATATTTTGTGGATCATAAATTCTAATGCAGTGGAAGGCAAGTCTTCAAAATGCCAAGTATCATGTGTGTTTGATGATGATCCTCCTGAGGAAACAAAATGGGAGAAACCTTTCATGTTGAGAAACCACCTGCTCTCTTCTTGCTCTCAAATGTGAATAAAGGAGAAAAGATTATAAACAAATGCAAATACTTAAAAAAAAACAAATGTCATTTTATGGCCTCCAAAGCCACTGCAGACAAGGTGATTAAAAGAAAAGGCCTACTTTGGAACAGAACCTGGATTGCCTGCTCTGTAGGCACACATGCTGCCACTGAACTACCACAGAAAGCTTCTCTTAAAAGACTTGTGAAGTAACTGTGAAGAATGTGGAAAATGAAAAGTATGTGTTACAAAGAAACAGTGGTGTGTCAACACTCAGTAGTTTGGTGAGGAAGATGGAGGAGGGTCCATTACCACACTCCAAAACCAGAGCTGAAATGGGGTGTTTTAATTAACCAGGTTCCCTTGTTCTATGCTTTTTCATATTATGTATAATTATTTCCATATATGTGCACATATTCTTATTCTTGTAATAGAACAGTGGTGATGTGCATTTGATTTTTACAGGTTTTTTGTGCACGGTGTAGTTCCAATTCCGTCCCACTGCCCCGATATGGCCATGAAAAACCTGTGCGGGTCTGTAATCGTTGCTTCTTGTACCAAGTGACTCCATTTACTCTGGAAGAATTGGCCACAAGATCATAGTGTCTGATACATTTTTGCCTATAACTGCCTTTCTGCCTACTTGCCTGTACAGGTTAGTATTTCAACAACTTCAGAATTAAAGACATAACTAAGCTAGTACCTTGCAAAAGTCTTTAGGTTTTCAAGAGGAATTTTAATCAGTTTGAAAATAAACTGTTAGTATACTTTTGGGTTCGGATTTACTTTCAGATTCAAGCAAGTGTGCCTTTTGTCTGTGGCAGATTGTACACATGACAAATCTCCACATTTGGTTTACGTAGATTTTTAACTTTTAGTGCTGGTGGCATGTTCTAAATTTTATCAGTAGAACAAACTTTTGGTCCATACTGGACAGTTTTAACAGCTGTCTACTCAAAATGCAGTGCTTTCCTGTAACAGTAATTTATTAACTTTATTGTGCAGGAATAGGGGATTTAGCTGCCAGCAAGACTCCAGGCTTGATAGTTTAGCAGTATGCTTCTGCAGTGCACTTCCAGCTGAGCTGCATGTAAAATGTAATGCACATTCAGCTGGAATGCACGTAAACCTTGATGCATGGCTGGTACAGACATGTATTTATTTCTTTGCATCTTTCAAAATTGTCATAAATCTTCAGTTTATGCATTTTTTTATGTGAACAGTTTGCATTTATATAAACATCTGTTTATGTCCTGTGTCCCCCATACTTGCTGTTTATTTATTTCTCGATAAAATGTCTGAAGATGAAAGAGGAAAATGCAATTCCATTAACCCCAGATATTACAGTTATTGACCACAAATCCAAGAAAATCTTTTCAGTGGCCTTACTCTCTAATCAGAATTATATTAATGAAGAAACTAAATGTATATTAAATCTAGGCAACACTTGCTACCATTCATTTCACAATCACTCAAACCTCTAATTTTACCCATTACTTTGTATGGGTGTGAAACTGACTTTCTCAGGGATTAATATATACTGAGGATGTCTAAGAACAGGTTGCTGAAGAGAGTATTTGGATCTGAGGGCGAAGAAATAACAAAAAAATATGGAAAAGTGCATGATGTATACTCTTCACCAAATTTATTAGAAGGATCAGTATGCAGCATACAGCATGTGTGGGAAGGATGAGAAATGCACTCATTAGAATACAGTTCCACATTTGATGTCAATTTTAGTCTGAAACCCTGGAAGACCTAGGAAAATGTGGGAGGATAATATTAAAACAGATATTGAGGAAATAGGGTAAGCACTGGATTCATCTAGCTCAGGATATAGATATTGGCTGGCTGTTGTGAACATTGTAATGAATCTTAGGTTTCCTGGAAGGCAGGAAATGAATGGATGAATGTGAATATATTACAGCATAAGAATGTTTCTGACATTTTTCTGTATAAGTTTTGATCACCTATGTCTATCATCATGAGTGCGTTATTCTTCTTATAATACGCATTTGGCTTATTACATAAGTTCACTCCTTTACATTTTTGTACATGATGTAAATTATTTTTTGCTGCCCTTTTCTCTGTAGTTGTTATTTTTATATCCAGTACATATTTGTTTACACAGAACAAGCATACTGTTCATATATGATCCATATCTTGTTCTTTGTCACTATTATTTTTAGCCTCTGTACCTTATTCATATTTTTTAGGTATATGTTGGATTTTTTGTTCTTTAAACTTCTCTGTCTCTAGTACATATATTATTGACTGTCTTATTTACACTCACAGTTCTCTAACATGTTAAAATTGTGTCACTATGGAATATTTGTCTGTAGCTATACTACATCTCAATACTTCTATACTAATTTCTTTTATTGCTGCACATATTTTTTATTTACTATTTATGATCGCCAAGCACTTAATATGGTTCATTCCTTGTCCTTGTTCTTCTTAACTCCTTATGTTCTTTGCTCGATTGTTGCTGCTGATGAGTGAACATGCTTCCTTTCATCTTTGGTGTATGCTTTTTCTTTCATTCCTGTCTCCTGCACTTTGCTATTGCTAAATGTTACATTAGTCACCACTGTTAAGTTAAAAAAATTCCAGCCTTTCTCCTTCATTGCTATTTTCATGTTATTTAATTAGTAAATAAAAAAGTACATTGTGTCCCATTTGTTGTGTTCATAATAGTTGCTCATCTGTTTTTGATACAGTTAGTTTCTGCATACGCACTAGGTCTATTAAAGACTACTCTACCTTTACTGTACAACATAATTTTAAGGCCAGTCCCTTTGCCAGATGTGTTTCTGCTGCCAACACAGTCTGTAGGAGCATCAACATCTTTAACAAAGATCATATTTTGCTTACTGATGTCAGTCAGCTTTTTAAACAATAATCATTGATTTTATTGTATATTTAGTATAATATTTTATTTTGTATGTTATCTATGTTTTGTTCAAAATTGAACTGATTTTAATTTAATTATTATTGTACTTATGCATATTATTTAGCTCATTTGTTAATTATTTTGCAATAAATGAATGAATTGAATTATTATCATTATTAATATTGTACATTTATATGTTCAGTTCATTGTTTGTTTGCTTTTGTATTGTAATGTTTGTATTGTTGGTGCTTGGCTGTTATTGGCCTTTTTGGCTGTTGTCAAGCACTTAAATAAATGAATTGAATTTGAATTTGAAAACCTTTTTATAGAGGTCAGTCATTCTCCCTTTTAAGCTACTTTCAGTACTTTTATACCTTCTGTCATTTTTTATGTTCGTGATCCAAAAGACATTTAACTTATTTTTGTTTTATTACTGTTGTGCTTGATATCATGAATATATTTACTATACCTAGCCTTGAATTTCCACCCTGTTTGGCCTATATGCCTTCTTTCACAATATGTGCATTTCAGTTTGTATTCTCAATTGTTATCAATTTATTCTTTTGTTGTTTCTGCTTAGCTGTGCTCCTTCTTATAGTATTGTTTATGCAGAATGAAATTTTTACATTAATATTTTATATATTTTAAGCATGCAGATGACTTTACCAAGAAACATATATTTTTCCCATTGTTATCTTCCATTATGTTATCTGTGTTTTGTACGTTCTGATTGTATCCTGTGTCATATCTTGATAGAGGCATTTGAAGATGAGAAAATAGTTATTAAGGAAATAAAAATAAGGTACACAGGTTGTAACAATAGTGACATAGAATAGAGTATAGATACCATATTAAAGGAATGCTTGCAATGTGTAAACAAAAAATGAATTGGATATATAAATAATAAACACAAGGACAGCTAAAAAGAATAATGTTCACTAGAGGTAGTACTGCAAAGATGTAATTGTACATGAACTAAATATGTATTATTACATGAATGAGGCATTAGGGATGGTCGTCATATATGACCAGGATGTACATACAAGAAATAATTAAATATGATGGGCAAAGCAATTGGAAACACTTTATACATTTCAAATTCAAATCTAATAAATATTAAATGTTTAAGAGCTGCATGGTAAGAAAGAACACAAGTGAATTTAAAATAATAGACTGTATTGCATTTTTATTGGATTTTATTTGTTAACAGTTCCACCACATCTTCATGTGTTTCCTTCTGCCTAACACCAGTTTCACCATAAGGGAATTAGCTGGTACAGAAGCATTCTTCTCCAAGGAATCTATATATTTGTTAAAATAAGAACTAAGGCATGGGTTTTGATATTGAAAACAATATGAATTTAGTAATTGTTAATTTCCAGAATGCTGGTCAGTCTCTAGTTATTACAAATTTAATATTGTAAAATTGGCTTTGTTGTTTTTATTTTTGTTAAATTTGAAGATGATTGTTGATATTTTTAACGATTTAATTGGTAATATTTTGTAATGCAACCTCTGACTGAGTTTCCTGATGTTTTTGTTGCCCAGTTACAGAGCAGTGCCCTTTTCACAGTCTCTTTAAGACAGAAACCAAAAATTGCAAAAGTTTGGACCTAAGAAAGATGAAGTAAGTGGGCAGTTTAGAATATTACATAACAACAAATCTCGTGATTTACACAGGTCACCTAATATTACGTATTAGGTTTGTGCAGTCTAGGAGATTATGGTGTGCAGATGACTAGGATGGTGTGTGACAAGGTTTGCATACAAATGTTTGGTGCAGAAATCTCTTAGGAAACAGCCACTTGGAATACCAAGCAAGAGATTGGTGAGGTAGTTTTTCTTTGTCTTTGGCAGTGGTGTTATATTACTACAGTAATCTCCCATTTATCCAGGTAAATAAAGGGGAGAACATTCATGAAAAATTTTAAAATGCAGATAATCCAAAATATTTTGATGCATTTACAAATTACTGTACTCTCTCTCCCTTTTATACACACACACACACACAAAACTTATTCTGAGAAACAGTTTGTACAAAGACCACTTGTTTTTGTGAACTGTTTAGACCAGCGTTTCTCAACCTATGGTACGCGAGCCAATGTTAAGTGGTTCGTGAGCTAAGTAAGAAAATCAAAGTTAGTATTATCATAAATAACTATTTTCCCTGAACCCATTTGGTTAGTGGTACATTAATGTGTTAAATTAGAATTAGTGGTATGCCAGCAAGAAAGGTTGAGAACCCCTGTTGTAGACTATTCCTCACAGCAGTTTTAATTTTCCTGGCGGTTATACTGCCATTATATCCTGACATTTGAACCATCTCTGACCCATTTAGTCTAGTAAAGTGGCATTTACACTACTTTTTCCATATTCTTCACTCTTACCCTCCTCACCCTTTTCTTCTCTCTTTTGTTTCACAGCAGCATTGACAGTGTCTGTCTGTCATGTGCTGGAAGCCTGGTTCACAATCATCACTCTGTTGCCATTATTTTGCATTATGTTTATCAACTTTTGACGCTTCTCATAGCACATGCCATGTCAAGAATTTTAGATTGCTAATTTATTTCTTAAGTAAACCTTGCAAATAATCTTCTAGATCTGGGACAAGTTTTCTCCACAATCAAATCACCATTTCTGGATATATGGAAGACCATGCGAGAATACACTGTATATAGCATCTACCACCATCATTTTTTACATAATCCTGTTATGTTATCTTCATCACCAAGAGTTCTGAGAAGGTCCACCTGGCAGCTTTATTTCATGGACATAAGCACTCAGTCCCATAATGTTTCATCACCAGTTCACTCTTGTAAATTTTTTCAGCTAACTCAAGCTTTTGTTTTGGTGTCAATACCATGTTCTTGTGTTCTCTCTCTCTCCCTCCCCCCCTCTCCCTCTCCAGCCAATTCAGTTTTGATCTGCAAAGTATTAACTATTACTTTCACTATTATGTTTTTCAGCAGAATTGGCGGCTGAGTCGAGTTCTGCTCTTTGTGAGTGACCAGTCGGCACAAAGAAAGTCTGCTGATAAGCAGCTAGACCTCAGTCTGTTAAGAAACACCGTGGTAGAAGCATCGGCAGCTGCACTGCATTGTTGCCAATTCTAACATGTTCTTTGCGTAGTGTTGTGGAATCCAATGTCCCGCGATGCTGTATCTGGCACCTCTCTATGTTGTTACCTAACTATCTCACCCCTTCAAGTACCACCAATACTTCCTACCATGGCACAGTACATGTGATTGGTGTACACTCCAGCCGCCAATTCGGCTGAAAACAGTTTAGGCATGTAATACAGTGTAACAGAATTGACTGAGGGACACTAGTATTTTAAAAATACCAAGCACCTGTAGCATGCCCTTTCTCCATCACACTGACCATTATAGAAAATCTTCCCAAGGAATTACTGATACTAATTAATGAACAAAAAAATGTGTTGTTGGCCATATATTCTGTAGATCCACCCAAAACAACCTCCATCACCCCAAGTGGACAGTCTGGTGTGGAATTATATCAACAGACAAGTTCACATGTATCCACAGTTACACTACCATGAAAATTTTAGGTGCTATGGTGACCTGGTATCTGAGGTTTATGCAAGCCTGGTTTTGTAGCTGATGTTCCCTCCCTCTTAACCCCCCCCAACAAAAGATGTTTAGAGGCATCAGTTTTATATTTCCTTTTATCTAGAAAATTATAAAAATTACAGTATGAAACTGCATAAAAATAATTTTGAAATATAGATAAATGCATAAGTTAGTTATTACCTTGTTTATTTTAAACATAATTTAGGGTGAAAATTTGTTTCATCGATTTTACTTTGATATTTCTAAGATTTATTTTTAATACACTTAGAACATTAAGTATGCTGTCATCTATTGTTTTGTTGTTTTCAAAACAGTTCGTTAACATCCGCATGGCATCCTGGGCAGGCAATGTTTTTTGAATGTATTTCTCTGTCTTGGTTCCTGTATTCTTTATGTAATACTACATTTATTATGTCATCATTTATAGGTATTTCAGATTTTGCCGAATCGTCGTCAGTGTTAATGAAATCTTCAATATTGGGAACATGTTCAAAGGTTTTTATTTCACTCACTTTCAGTTACTCAGAAAAACAAGGTTCACCTTCAGTGACAGTTTTGTTATTTAAAGAAACATCTGATAATAAGCTGACTCGGCTGGGGCGTGATGCTGACCACCTCACCCCCACCTAGTGCCGAGGTCAAGAAAGAGTTGGAGCTGTATCTCCACTCCCCTGAAACACCTATATGGCATGTAGCGGGATAGCTTTTTTTCTCAAACAGTTTGAACCATTGCAGGTGTAATAGTATCTCAGACATTTTTCATTAAATAAATCACGCTTGTTATTTACTTCTTGTCAACAAGGACCTCTGAAATGTTGGTAAACTTCTGTCAGACTATATGGTCCACTTCCTTACATATTGTTTTAAAATGTCAGAAGTTGCCCATCCTTTTTATTAGTTACATATTCAACAGAAGCATCTTTACACTTTTCAAATGTTGAGGCTTTTGAGATTGTTCAATTACAGTTCTTTTTTGTCCATTCTACTCATATCTTCACATATCAACACTGTTAAATGGTTTTTCAGCTTCTTGCCACACATTTTTCATCTTTAAATTACACGTTTTTTTTGGAGCCATGTTGTAGAACACCTTTTTGTGCCAACGGGCACATTTGAGAGTTTATGAGATCGTGGTGGTCACCAACCAATTAACAAAGCCAAATTTTCTTTTCTCTGGACAAATAAGATATGGACACCAAATAATACACAAAACAACACGACGTTTAATGATACAAGAAACCATGAAATCAAAAATACGTACTTTTATAAGTACAATTATTATTACTCAAGTGGGAAGTTAGTGTGATGTTTGGCGCTGCATTTAATCGGCCAGTTTTTCAAATTTGGGAGTGTAGGATGATGTTGCTGCTCGCAAACAACCGTGAAGATGGGCATTAGTAAGTAGAGATCTGTGCTTTGATTTTATAATGTTCATGGTTGAACGGCCTTCATTATTCAGTTATTTATTATTATTCAGTGTTCTGTCTTACGACAGGTCCATTGCTCTGCCCAAAAAGAGCTCTCCAGTTTTCCCTATTCTCAGCTTCTCATTTTAATTCCTGGCACTTCATCTTCTTTCCTTGTTTCAGATCGTCGGTTAGCTGTATCAGTCTTATTATTCAGTATAACCTCTTTCCGTATCAACGCGGGCACCCAAAAAAAGCCTTGGCAGGGACCACTGTTGTAGAGTCTACTTTCGTCTGCATTATAGAGTTCTTTGGTATATCCATTTTTTCATTCCTCCCAAACATGTTTTACCCATTCACTTGCTGATAAGGCCTTTTTACTAACTGCAGCATAAATGATAATATACCAATTTTAAAATGATCAAGCCATCCTTTACTGTAACTTTAGTTTTTATGCTCTAATTGCATTGTCTGCATGGATCTTCAGAATGGGACCAAATTAGGTACCAGCATACCTCTCCACCTTAATTCCAATAATGCTTTGTTAATGTTGTCAAACCCACTTTTTTCATTTATTTGTTTGTAGTGACAGTCTTCTTGAACACAGAATTTTCTCATTGTTCTTCCAAAAATTTAAAACTGTGGATGATAAATTTAATTCTTTATACACAGATACATTTTTACCACCATGTTCTAACTCCCTAATAATTTCAGCTTTATCATACAAAGACAAACACTTCCTCTTGTTTACAGACATGTTGGTCATTGAAGATTAAAATCTGTATTGGTTATGGGTTACCAGCCAGGCTATTTACAGCAGGCTAACCACAACAGAACCCAACCCTAGCAGTACAAGTGCAGATAAGAACTGACTTATGCTGTACTGTTAAAAACAAACACAGTTGAAAATATAAGTAAAGTGTGAAGTTGTCATTTGGTTGCTATAATTTATAATTCATGTTCATTGTAACCAAGTTATACCATACAGTTTTGTTATATTGTTGACAGAGACATTTGATAGCAGAATTCGATAGCCCTGTACCACCTACCAGCTCACACTTTGTATTAGCATAATCTCACCCAGAATAATATTTTTATATGTGTATTGTATGGAGACTGTTTTAAATGTTGCAGTTCTTTATAAGTTAAGAAAATATTCACCTTTTATATATATCCAGAGGGGTATCTCAGTCAGTATAGTGACTGGCTATGGACTGGACGACCAGGGTTCGATCCCCAAAGGGGGCAGAGGATTTTTCCTGTAGCCTCTGCATCCAGAATTGCTCTGGGGCTTGCCCAGTCTCCTATCCAATGGATATCAGGGCCCTTTCTTGGGAATGAAGTGTGATCGGGGCATGACACTACCCACTCACTCTCACCTAGTGCTGAGGTTGAGAATGAGTAGGAGCTATACCTTCTCTCCCCCCAAGCCCCTACAGGGCATATAGTGTGACAGCTTTACTATATACATATATTTGTTTTTTAAGCACTTGTCCTCTTGTACACTTCACAAGAACCAGCATTTTAGTAAATTCAGTTATCACAATGAGAAAAACAAAAACTGTTTGCAGTATTTTAGAGGATACTGAACTTAACTGTAGGAGAACATGAGGCAATAAAGTGAGGATCTTCTGTAAAACAGCACAGTGATGACAAGCTGCAATAAGGATTATACATTGTAATCGTATTACATATCATGTCATCATATCATATTATACTGTAGCAAAATGTATAATTTTCACTAGTAAATTATGATATGCTTTCATTACCATCTAAAGCAACATCATAAACAAAGAGTCTTTATTGAGATGGTGATACTTTCTCAGCTGTTGAAGAAGTTACCTGGCTTTAATGGAACTTGATGTTTATTACTGTATTCACAACAGCCCACCAGTGGACCCTGTTCTGAATTAGTGGCTGTTCTAACTTGAGAGAAGAACATAATCATCCTCACCACTGTGAAAACCTCAAATATCGAATCTGCTAATAGTATAAGTAGTATCAAAACTGACAGTGTAACCCTTTTAAGCCTAATAAGTGTTGTACCAGTAACTAACTAGATGGCTTATGGAACCTGGAGGTTCATCACCAAATTAAGCAAAGTCCTCCACTGGACCCTGTCCTGGGCCAACAAAATCCAGTCGCCTTCAACTCCTATCTCCCAAAGATCCCACTTAATATTATCCTCCCGTCTAGGTCTCAGGTCTCCTCAGCAGTCTCTCTCCTTCAGGCTTCCCAACTGATATCCGGTGCACATCTCTTGCCCCATCAATGCACACCACATACTCTGCCCATCTCATAATGCTTGATTTAATTACCCTGAAAATATTGGGAGAGGAGTACAAATTTTTAAGCTGTAGCATACTAATGGCAAATGTTTTTCATACTTGTCTTTTTACATAGTTCTCACTTGCCAAAGAGCTCTAGAAGCTTAAGGCTAAAGAGATGCTTCTTGGCATAGATTCATGGTTATAAGAATAAAAATAAGAATGCAGGGAAGATGTCATATAAAAAACAGAACTAGCTGGCTAATGAAAATTTAAGTATTGGTATGTGTGACTAACATTATTAGTGTTAATTCTGTTAAAGCCAGTTTGTTTTATATTTTAGTTTAACCATTACTTCTTTAGATGGATTTTGATATGTTAAATTCATGCCTGTATATGGACAATGAAAGTGGTTTCAGAAGTTGATACTACATTAAAACATCACAATTGTTATAGACGTTCTTCCTTTAATGAAAAAAGTGGTGATAACATGTTTAATAAATTCCTCAACTCCATGGAAGAGAAAAATTGTATATGTGTAATTAAAAATATTGTTTTTTGCTTTATTGAGAGATTAACAATGATTACTGTAAAAATTAAGCTAAGAGGCCCAGTGGTTTAAAATAGTCAACTTCAGCTTTGAAAGTGTGAATAGGAGTGATTTATGTTTTATTTAATAAATATACTTTTTTGTGTGTGAATATGATAAATAAAATATGGTGACTGCCAAGAAAGTAAACGTTAACTTTTGTGTTGAATATTATGTTGTGCTACTTTGGTGGGTAGGCTAAGTAACATAAGTGTGCCTATTTTTAAAATCATATGATATATGCTCTGAAGACTGGGTATAATGCTGTGTGTGTGTGTGTGTATATATATATATATATATAAAATTTCTCAGTGTCCAAATACAGGTGTGTAGGCTGAGGGCTATATGATGATTTGAGTGAGTTCATTTAATAGAATTTCAGAATATTTGAAAATACTGGTGTAATCTTCCAGTTCCTCCTGCTATAAATATCATGTCCCAAAATGTGGTACTCCTTTTAGACCAAAGCAAAGAGTGATGGTTTCCTTGATAATATAAATATGGAAATTACACAAAAAGTATGTAATTTATTTTTTCAATTTTTTCTCATGTTCCTCTTTTTTTTTCTTCTTTTTTTTCCATGTTTTTTTTCTTTATCCTCTTTTCTCTATTTCTTTTCTCCTCATGCAACTTTCAGCATATTCTTGTGGCAGAAATCACTTATAATAATTGCTAATATAGACAAGTTACCTGTATGCCTGTTCATCTAAACACATAATTATGATGTAAACAGAAGTAATATTGTTGAGGCGTGTAGTTATGTGCTCAGGGTCAAAAAGCACTATAGGAAAAGGAATTAACATATAAATTCTCTGTACACTGATGTTGCTCTTCTTTGAACTTTTATATAGTTGTAGGTACATTTTATTATAATATTTGTGGTTATGGAAGTAATTATACAGTGACTATTAGGTTTGTATAAATCAGTGTTGTAAAAATTGTCAAAAATGAAAACTGTAATAACAGTATACAGAATATCAGGACTATCAGAGCACAAGTGTAAGTATACCATATTCTGAACGAAGCTCTGATTAGTCTGTCGTATTTCCTATGTGTATGATATAATAAGTATTTAGAAGAACTGATTTCATAAGATCAGAGTTATTAACAGTATGTACTTTTACATGAATAATTTCCATTGCTTAATGCTGACATTTTTGTGTTGATATTATCTATCTGTGAAAAGAAATTTGTAAGCAATCTGCAAGGCACTGCAGTTATTTGTCTTTGCTAAATCAAAGTTCAGTTTGTACAATTTGATGATTTATTTACTGAACCATGTAACAGCAGTAATTTTAACTTCTGCCTGTGATATTTTTATCATAATTATTAAGTACTACACCATACCTTGTAATTTAGAATATAAACAGAGCATCAATATTCCTCATTTGTATTTACAGGAAAATGTTGCTTCTTATGTAACAACAGATTTTAACGTCAGTATGTAGTGAAAGCATCATTAAAGTGAGAAAGATTAATATATTTACAATAACAGTCCATATAAAAATCTGGATTATAACACACTTTAAAATAATAACAACAATGACAATATGACAATTTTACCATTGAGTTTCTGGAATTATCCATAATTTTTCCAGAATAAGGATCATATAGTATCCAAAATTGTGGGGTTTTTCAGTCATACATTCCTTACATGAAAATCTGTTGTGTAATGAAATGATACTATGCAATCTGTCATACCATGTTCATAAATATGCCTAAATTAAGATTAGTACTTCCTAAATCTAACTCAAGCTCAAATATGAAATAAATGTAAAAATATTTATAAAGGGAGAGGTAAGTATGTTGTAATTATTTGTATTTAGCTTTGTTATGGATGACATGGATGTAATTTAGAAGTTGCATTGTTATTAGAAGAGGATTGCTAATAAATTTTGTGGATTTATGGGACATTTATAAGCATCCAGAATAACATTAAATGATGTTAACATGTTGAAATATATAGTTTTTAGTAGAGAACGATTATTGTAAATATAATTGGTAATTTATATATCCTATAAAGCAGAGACTTTGTGCTGGGAATGAGATTCCCTTTTCTTTAATTCAAAATAAGTTGAATTTTCACTTCAGTGGCTTTTAGAAATGCTTGTATTTTAAGTTATTATGCTGTCAGACAATACAAAGTCCAGTTAAGTCATTTAATTTGTAGAAGCATGGGTGACTGAAAATCCTTTGCAGTTCAAGTTGCTTGTAATACTATAAATTATCAAATAAAATTATTGGAATTATGAATCTGTGAATAATTTACAAACTGCTGTTTAATTAGCCCAGTTTAGAATAACCTGTGAGTGAAATACATGTCTAACAGATTTATTTTGTTTTAAGGGCAAGGTAATTGACCTCTGCACCAAAAGTCTCTGGTTCAAGAGCAGGCCATTGCAGACTTTTCAACATACCTTTCCCCTTTCTCATATGTGGCAAAGGTAATACCAAAAGAAATATAATGATTGGTCCCTTCTGTTGACCAATATCCTTGTCCTCTCCCTGCCATTAGGTATTGTAAATGCAGTGGAAATTATTAATATTACCCCCAACTGTTGAAAAAAAATGTGATCACTCAATAAAAAACAACAAAAGATATAAAACACTGCAGTAACATATCACTGAACAACAAAATAAATTATTCCATAGTTAAATTGCATTTTGAACTACAGTTGAAGTCCTTATTATCTGACATTCCATTTTCTCATTCATGCTGTGTCAGAACACTCCATTTTATCAGCATTAAACTCGACATGAAGCAGAATGAATCGTACTCTCCCACGCACCTTCTACATTTTATGTACTTGGTAGCTGCAGATCTACTGTTCAGGTGCTGGTGTGACTTTGCTGCAAAGAATGAAAGGAGGCTGAGAAGCAAATAACCATTATGGTTCATATCATGAGATTACCAGCAATACCAGATTTTAATTTAACAGCATTATAACATAAATTACTGGCAGGATGCCTTTTTCTGAGATGTCATTATTGAGTGAATAAAATTATAGCACTCAAGGTTTTGCCCCATTCTTTATATTCATGTGCTTGCCATTTATAGTCAGAAGACAAACATGTAAACAAAAATTCTGTGTGCATAGTATTTCTCATGCAGCATCAAGCTGAAAGGAAGAAAGAAGGCAACTAAGCAGGCCTGGTTACATCTTATCATGATGAAATGGTGTTCATAATTACAGAAAATGCAAGTAAATTCTTCCTTCTCTAGATATTCTACAACATGGTGCATTATTCCTTGTGCTCTTCCGCTTAAAACAGTTCCCAGAAGCATTGGACTATTGCCACTGCCATAATATTACAATGTGTGAGATATGTTTTAATGCAGTGGTATGTCTTGCTTAAAAGAGGGAAAGTTGTCCTTGTGTTAGTGCATGGTGGAAGAGGAATTAATTTTACCTCACCATTAGAAGGAAGTGAGTTAGAGCTGCTTTACCCAGTAGTGGATGTGGCGGAAAAGATAAAAAATTAGGAAATGTATGTGTAGCATCACAATTCTGGTGTGTTTGCCTGAATTTGACCTTTGTGAATCGAGCCAGTGAGATAAGAGTGTGGTATACCCTACATGGATCTATGGGCTGCTTGGGGAACCCCAAATTCTCTCATTTCTTTGTGCAGAAACGTGTGTAAGTTTTTTACATAAAGTGTCCATTTTTGTTACTTGATTTTAACAAAACTGGAATTTATTGACAAATTTCAGTAAAACTACCCAATATAAAATTTCATGAAAATCTGTTGTGGATTTCTCAAGTTATATATAGATAGACAGTTTTGAAATTGTCTAAGAATCCTTCCTGTTGGGAACTGAATCCCAATCATCTAACTCATAGGATGTCATTTGTCAGTTTACTGACAACTGTCAATATCTGTGATGTTACTAATCCTGTCTGATCTCTCACCTTTCCCAGTAATCTGTCTGTAAATTAGCAGCATAGTATTTTCAAAGCATAGGATTTTACACAGTAACATGATCCTACCCAGCCAACATGAAGCATTCTTCGCTCTGCTAAGAAACACTGTTAACATCACATTCTTGTCCCGTGGACTTATAACCAGTGTAAATAGCCCATGGGAGAAATACCTCAATTTTTATTATTCCAGTGAATCTTCATGTGGAAATATATGTGAACTAAGATTCTGCAGCAAAGAAATTTTAAACAAAATGTTTAAAATGTCTTTTATTATGCAGGGAAACTTATTATTAGTTTTACTTTTCCATCTAAATTAATGGAAATACATTCAGTATGTGTTCATAAAGTAGCACCTATGAATGAAAAGTTTTAAAAATTACTTTTATATCATTCAGGTAATGGCCTGGTTACATCTGTGAAAAGCAGATAATATTCAGCAAAGTATAATGGAACAGAAAACCATGACTACATGTCATTACTGTGAATCACTGCTCTGGCAAGGGCATTTTATCTAGTTATGGGCAAAGGAAATGATGGATATAATGTGGCAACACCGTACCTCTCTGTTGCCCTGCCAATATTCAAGATACTTTAGCAGCACTGATTGTATCTGTGCAGCATGATTACTGGGCCAATTTCTGAAATATTAATTCTCCTATACAATTTAGATGTTACAGGTTCCTCTTCACCTGACCCAGTGTTTCCTGTGGGGAAAAATGATTGCATCAAGATCCTACATAATACATTCCTACTTTGTGGCTTACTATAAACAACCTGTAGATGTATTGAATCACAGAAATTTTTCCAGCACTTGATACTATGTTGTTCAAAGAAACTTCCTGTTTTATGAAAACTGAAGGATTGTTGCTTTTATTGGAAAGAGATTATCAATGTGATTCTATCCTGGACCTGTATACTCCAGTAGCCATTATGAGAACAAATTTCCTAAAGTTCAGTATCAATATTACTCTCTTTTTCTATTCTTAATGCCTGAAGTGGCCCCTTTCCATTAAATTTTCCCAAAACTTTGCGAAAAAATACCTTCAGTATCTGTTCTTTGGTCAGGCTTTGCATTGTTATAAAATAACGTAAAACTATAAGTTCATACATCTCAATCTTTAGACTTTAGAGCAGAAGATAAAATGTTCTGAATAAAATGATACATGCATATCCTAATTTTACTCTTATTAATGTCATCATAAATACAGGAAGAGTCAAAAGTATGTTTACAAACTTTGTGTGTGTGTTCCAGGTTCAAAAACAAGAAAAAATGTTCCTGTGAACATGTGGGCGCAAATGCTTCTTTTTGAAAATAGTAGCCAAAAATAAGTTTCAATGTATGCCTTCAATGACAAGTATAAGAAGAGGAATGTTTCTTTATAACAGATGCTCAAAGGTTGCTCCTCGATTCTCCACACATGCCCGAGCACGACGTACACAAGACTGATGGATTAGTTCGTACACACCAGGGTTTCCTCGAATCATCTGGCATGCATTCTGAACACGTTCCAATAGGTCGTCTTCATTGTTTATGGGTGTTGCATAAATAACAGACTTCAAGTGACCCCACAGATAAAAGTCCAATGGAGTCAGGTTTAGTGACCTCAATTGCCATGCTGCTGGGCCACCGAGTCCAATTCATCGCTGAGGGTAATGTTCATTGAGATGATGTCTGACGAGACGGGAGAAGAGTGCTGGGGCTCCATCGTGCATAAACCACATTTGTCTTCTTGTATTCAGTGGTACATCTTCAAGAAGACGTGACGAGCATCTTCTTAAGAATCCATGATATGAAGGTCCTCTTAGATGCGATGGAAGCATGCATGGACCAATAAGCATGTCACCAACAATTTCTGCCCAAATGTTAATTGAAAATCTTTGCTGGAAGCTGGATTCACTTTGACATAAAGTGATTCATTGAAACTTATTTTTGGCAATTATTTCGAAAATGAAACATTTGTGACACCATCGTCATAGTAACACTTTTTATTATTTTTGATCCTGGAACACACACAAAGTTTGTAAACATACTTTTGTCTCATTCTGTGTAATTTGTGAGCATTGCCATTATATTTATATTTTTTTCAAAAGGGATATTAAAACACTGTTAATATACCCCATTTCTTCACAAAGTTTTCATACAAACAAAACTAAAATAGTGAGCTACTTTCTTACATCAAACACTTTTAATAAATTCCATAATCAATGTAAACAATGGCCTTTGCACTGCTAGAAACATGTGCTGAATTACTCTTTACTTATGAAACTCCAGTTCTAAAAATGAAAGACTGTGACATCACACATCTCCATAAATCAACAATTCTCATTTCTTAAAGAAAGTCTTCCTAAAACATATCTTATGACTTTCATCAGATCAGTGTCTTTAACTGATTAGTACATTTGATGATCAGTAAACTGATGAGAAGTATAAGATGAGTTGCTCGAAGAAATAAAACTCTCAAGCATTGCAATAAATTTAGATTCTGCATGCAAAAATGACAGGTTTTGCTTACATGAATCTCTCTCTGATATTCTTGCATTGATTACTAGTTTATTTCATAGACTGAAATATTACACAAAAGAGGAAACTTAGTTTTTATAAGGTAATGTTAAAAATAATGGCACACAGTTCCACGTTATTGACAAGACAACCAAGGAAAGAATGCCGTAGAATGGTATATTGTCATGTACCAATCAACATTGGTTTAATGTGATAAGTATTTGGAAATTACCTGGTTTGATCCTCTACTATTCTCACTAACACTCTTTATTCTTAAAAGTAAATTTCAGGATATTTACTTCAAATAGGATATGGTCTGCTCCTTCATTCTTTTAGTTATACTCTTTGTAATTCTTTCATAACTTTTATTGCTAATTTGCCTATACAACTGATATATTGCTGCTAAATATTTAACAAGTTAACTAACCTAAATATCATAAATAATGACATTTATGAGTAAAGAAGGAAGGTAATTTCATTCTTTTAACATTCACTGAAGTGCTAAACAAAAACAATTTTAGTTTCATTAATAATTTACCTGCTTAAGTAATACTTTCAGATGTACTGGAGACAATCCAGATGGTGTAACAAGTGGATATTCCAATCTTTTCTTAACAGGAGGTTCTTCTCCCCAAGCCATTGCTCAGAAATAAGCAGCTGACAAGCATAGCAGATCATGTGGCTGAGTACGGATTGCTGCTTTAGCATACTGCTTCAATATGAATGGGAATGTGGGTGGTATATAAATTTGCTGAGAGCAATACATCTGTTCCACTAAGTCTGGGATTATCAGGGTTGCCTGAAGTGTCACCTGTGCTATGTCAGATGAGAAACAACTTCTTATTGGAGATAATGTAGCTTTGAATTGATCCTATGCTATGCCACTTAAATGTCCTTTAAGTGCAATAGATTGGAAACGCCATCACAAATATAAGCTGCCTTTTACAAATATCAAGGGATAAAAACATTCTCCCCATTATTGCTGACAATTGTATTTTTTTTAATCATCATGACAAGATTTAAAATAAGAAAGTAATATAGAATGGGTTATCCTTATATGTTACTGCTACTACTTGTATTTCATTACCTGACAGAATATGAAAAGAAAACAGTATTTTATTATTTACCTCAGGTTTTACTTTTACATCACTGACATAGTAGGGACAGTTTATTTACATAAACTGGAATTTTGGTTGCCATGACAACGGTCACAGGCGACATTTGATTCAAGTGGTGTATGTTTTCAACTGTACATTTAAAGCTAAATACTGTGGATGTGAAGAGTTTTGATTTTTATCAAATGCGTTTAAATGTCGCTCTGAATGCCAGTATATAAACAAACCAATCCTAAAGAAAAATAACGCGTTCAAGCACCTTGACATTAGCGTTATCTGTAGGCCATCCTTGAGAGCTGTGACTTACGTCACGTGACTGTATAGAGTTCCGGTACGTTTTTTGTGTGATGTGCGTGAAATGTAAGTATGGGAAAAGCAATTATTCGAAGGTGAATTTAATTGAAGGACTTCACAGAAGGTGAACTCTGGACGTCCTGGGAGTATCAAGCATTGCAGGCCGTCCTAGGTGAGTTATCTGAGACAACCTTCCCTTGGTAAGCGTTGTTGGCGGTTAGGAAAGTATCCGGCTATAACAGCAGCAACTTGCCACTTTGATTTTCAGCGCGCTCATACCACATGTTTGATATTTATTTCTTTGTATAAGATTAATGACAAAAGATCATCATTATGAATATAAGGCTTAGGTCTCAAGACCTGTTCCTTTTTTTTAAGCTCAAGTTTATTTCTTAATATGCTTGCGTATAACTTGGATGCAGACGACAGCAGTGTAATTCCCGTGTAGTTGTTGCAGTTTTTTGGTACCTTTCTTTTGTGTGCCGATACAATTCCTGTTCCCAGCCTTTGGGTATTGGTGGTTATGCCATGTCTTGAAATGGCTGTCTTCTGGGTTGTTGCGCCATGTGATCTGGTAGAAGTTTATCGACGTTTCAGAGGCTCTTGCTGCAAGGACCGCTAAAACATTGGTAAACTTCTACTAGACTACACAGTACAACAACTTCACTCACCACAGTGAAAACCTCAAATCCTACTTATGCCATGTCTTATTAAATAACTGTAACTATTGATCTTTTCATGGGGGTCCACCATATTTAACATATTTTGCATTTTGATTATCACACCATGGGTCTATTTTTATTTTGTTAGTACCAGATTTAGTTCCTCCATTGTTATGTCCTTACCTCAGTCAACTGCGTCAGCAATTTCTTCAACCCACTCCTCTTGAATGTCAGGGTTTTGCCGCAGTTTGGAGTAATATGTCTTACAATCTTCTTTTGATATTAAGTTGGTTTATATTTTATAATTTACTTATAATTGTAGTTTCTCTAGTATTTTAAAATTTCATTTTTGTGGCCTGTTATATCACGTTCCAATGATTTCACAAATTACCCCAATAACTTTGCTTTGATTCTTCTGGTTAATTTTCAAACTTTTGCTCTAAGTTGCATATATATAGCATGCTGTTCTGGGCCTCTAGTTTGTAAGTACAGTAAAACCTCTCTAACTTGGACACTTGCGGTTCCACGATAATGTGTCCAACTTACAGAGGTGTCCAGGATAGAGGGAAAGGGGAAAATCATCCTTTCAAATTGTGGTGTAATGACAATGTGGTAATTTTTTAGTATTATGGAGCCCTTCCCAAAAAGGAAATTATTGATAAGAAAAATCAAAAGAGTAAATTAAATTTTTACAAATTTTGTTTTCACTAAATTAAACTTGCATGGATAAGCTGAAAGGGAAGGGCACCAATACTTTACGTTTACCGACAATGTAATCTATTTACTTACATAATCTAACTACTGTAATTTCTGTTAACACTGTTTAACTCAGTTGCAAGCACAGTACAGTACGATCCGTCCATAACGTGGTTCGCTATACCGCGATTCCAGATATAACACGGGTACCTCATGTCCCCCATAGTGCAGCAAAAAAGAAAGAAGTTCATCAATTATCCTTCACACAGAATTCAAAATTATATTAAAATGCAAGCCAAATTAATTATTTATTACTTTTTCCGTAAAAATCAATCGTAACATAGTTAAATAAGTATGTATACTCTTAAATGGCGATAGTCTATCAATACTCTATAACGCGGGTTTACCCCTGTCCCCCGCGACCCGCTATAGTGGGGTTGTACTGTACTGACAAAGTTAAAACTGTACCAGCAATACGTACTGTAGTCCAGTGAAGGGTTTAACAAAGGAATAACTATACACTTTCACTGCATTCCGATGATGTGTTCAAAGTCTCACACCCTCAACCATAAGCTAATCCTGAGGTAGAAGGCATTCATCAGTCAGAAATTCAAAATAACAAAATACTAACTGTAAATGTTTCCCATAAAAGCATTGAAGCTAAGTGCATGAACCTGTCCAACTTACAACAAAAGGGGTGACCAAGTTCCAGGATAAAGGGGTGTCCAAGATATAGGGTATTGTGGACATGTAAAATTATAGGATATCTGCAGGTTCCAATTAAAAGTGTCCAATATAGAGGGGTGTCCAACTAGAGGGGTTTTTACTGTATATCTTATTCATTTTTTTGTATTAGTTACCTGTTTTAATTCTTCATTCCATGTTCAAATCCATTTTATTTTTGATAGTTTTTTGTCCTACACTTTATTTAGCAGCTTCTAATATTGTATCTTTTATCTTTAACTGGTTTTCTTCAGCGTTGTATGTTTCCAGTCGTTAGAGTTTGCCATTCAGTCTGTTTAATATAATATTTGGATGCTTTCTAATAAATTACTTTTATCATTTTATTGATTTTTATCAGTTTATTACCCCTCCTTTGAGTGTGATTTTGTTTACTGATTTTAAATGTGCTTCCCAGCAGAAAATGTTCAGTATCAATCTCACTTAATCTGAATGCTGTAGTGTCTCTTACTGCCATCTTCATTTTATCATTAATGATGATTTAGTCAGTTACAGATTTGGTTCCTCTCGCTTCCCACGTGAACTTGTGTATATTGTTGTGTCTGAAGAAGATGTTCATAATTTTGAGTTTATTAAATAGGCAGAAATCTATGAGTTCTCTTCAGTTCTTGTTGACAGTTTGTTTGCCTTCTGATCCAATGTATTTATCAACTGGTTCAGCCCCATTTCTTGCATTAAGTCCCTGGCCAATATGAGGTATATATTTTTATTAAGTTTGTCAATGACTACTTGTAATTTTTTATAAAATTCCTCAGTTTCAGTAGTTTCCCTTCAACTGGTGCATAGGTGTTAATTATTACTGCTGTGTATGTTCACATTTTTAATCTGAATTTCACAATCCTTAGTGATATTCATTCATAATCTGTTATTCTGTTCCTCCATTCTTTCCTAATATTGCTTCCCCTGATGAAGCACGTTCTTCACTTGGTATTCCTTAGTATATAATTACATAATTCCCTGTTTGGTTTGTCCAATTTATGAGTTATACCTCACACATTCCAAGTGGTCACTTTGAGATTCCTCATCATACACCTTTTCCCATTGCCAGGGTCATTATCCTTAAATTCAGTTTGATTTGTCTTGACCATTTTCTGAGTAGTTTGTCAAGTCGCCTGACAACCTTTCACACTGCAAGTTCAGTTGTGGGGGTGCCATCTTAGGCCTTTGGACAGGCTAGTTGGTCCCACTTTAGTCTAGTCTCTCCATCTTGATCTTATCATCTTGGTTAGACCCACCAGGAGCTTGATCCCCTGCCGACATTGCTCACAGAATTAGAGGCATGCAAGCCTTCTCACCACAACAAGGTACAGAACCAACCAACTTGAAGAGGGTGATTAATGGCAGAAGGTATTTGTGTGAATTAAAGTTTTCCAGAAAAATTCTTGGAACATGTGCAGGAAGCAGTGTTTCATTTATTTTTTGCCACAGATAAAAGTATATTACCTGCAGATTGACCTTGGAAGTAAGAAGTGTGATTCCTTGGTTTTTCTGCACATAATTTTTCACACAGCTGTGTTCACTTGAACAACATGTTTCAAACCAGTGTGGCTATTATCAAGTGTATGTCATTGCACTAAGGATCTTCACTCCAATCTCTGTCAATAGTTTAACTGCATCAGTGCTAGAGTCTTGGCAATGATAATTTTTAAGTCCCAGTTATTGTACATCTTTTGCAGGTTTAAATTCCCCAGTACTGATCAGATTCCGGCTGAACTGATCAAAGGAGGAGGCGGAACGCTGTGTTCTGAATTATGCAAACTTATCTGCTCCGAATGGGATAAGGAGGAAATGCCACAGCAGTGGATGGAATCTATTATTGTGCCAGTTCATAAGAAGGATGATGAGACATTAATAATTATTGAAGAATCTCCCTCTTATCATGTGCCTGCAAAATTTGATCCATCATTCTTCTGGTAAGGCTGACTCCATATGCCAGTGATTGGGGATCATCAATGTGGGTTCTGTCATAATAGATCTACAGCTGATCAAATTTTATACATTTTTCAGATACTAGAGAAATAGTCGTAAAGAAAGCTTCTGACACAGTTAAAAGAGAAGCTTTTTACAATATTTTATTATATATTACAAGTTTTTAGTCTATGCTGATGTTAATCTATTGAGCGATAATATGAATACTATAAAAGCAAACACAGAAACACTCTTAATGGATAATAGGGTTGTTGGTCTAGAAATAAATGCAGAAAAGACATAGTATATGATCATGTCCCAACATCAGAACTCAAGACAACAAAAATATAAAGATAAGTAATGAATCGTTTGAAAATGTGACAAAATTCAAGTACTTGGGGAGGACACTAACAAATCAGAGTGACATTCTTGATTAAATCAAGTGTAGATTAAATTCAGGGAATGCTTTTTATCAAGTTGTTCAGTGTTAGGGCCCTTTCACACGTGGCTCATGTGAGCTGAAGTGACTGCTGGGGATAGAAATTGCACCCTTTCAGACGAGAGCCGGTGAACCTGTGTGAGCGGCTCATGAGCCACTGTGCAGCTCTCCCCTAGTAGCGTCTACTGGTGGGGAGAGTTTTGTCTTCTTTAACATGGAACCCTTTCACATGAGGCTCAGTGAGCTGCAGATCAAGCCAGTCTAGCCATTGCATTTATACAGGAGAGTGAATAAGTATTACTGTAAATGGAATTATGGTTGAAAACTTTGTATGTAGTGAGTGGACTCTTACTTAAAATGTAGTTACTTTTTATAACATAAATTACGTTGTGAAGTTCTTCTAAACATATCTTGTGGTTACGGACGACACAAAATAGTGGTGGCTTCTGATTGCATGTACTCTGGGTTTTCGTGTTATGCCTTAGTCCCTCCAAGAAAATGCAAGGGTGGCTCATAATGATTGTGTCTGTGAGACCCGGCAAGGCAAGCATGTGGAACAGCATTACGATGAACATGTGTTTAAACATCTTTCTGAAGCAGCAAGCGTGTCATTGTGTTCTGCCGAACGTATCGCAGAATTCATGTTGTAAGGTGGTGGTACATTAAACCATCCTTATCGGTTGCCTGATTCGGGTTTCGAAATTTGGAGCAAAAATATGATGTCTTTTTCCTTTGCAAAGGATCACCCCATGGAAGACAATTATTTTTATCCAAGGATTTAATTATTTCAAAAATATCTAATTTATTTTTGTCATTCCATTTAATATTGTGCATGAATGGTCTGCTGTTACATTGTAATTTCGAGGAAGACAACACCATACAGTGTCCATAATTTTGTTTCCTTGAAAGAAACTCATGTTTACAATCAATTCAGCCTTTTATAGTTAAAATATGATGTTTGTTCTTTTGTCTTTATTTGTATTAAGGAGATAGGTCAGAAGATGAAAAGTATACAAATATCAGTCCTGTGCCATTTTCATCCTCTTTTTGTGTGCACCCACACTTTTGTTGTTTATACAACCATTGTGCTTAGTAATTTGTTACATGATAGGACAAAATGAAAATTATGAAATTAAATGTTTTGTTCAGAGAATTCACACAACTTTTCATGATGCATGTGAGAAATCAAACATGTCACCCCTGTTGCACAGATAAATATAAACTAATTTATGCCTTTCCTACAGTTTGTAGAAGTTGTTAACTGGAGATAATAAAAAATGTCACCACTCACGTGTGATCACCATTTAATATTCTCTGTTTGTAGACGTTGGCATCATGCTGACCAAAGTTAATGTCGGTCTTGGTTTTACCTTGCAGAAGGAAGATGAAAGTGATTTGGGTCATTATGCTTGTGCACTGGTTCGTGAACCTGTGCTTTCTGATGGTTGCATCAGGCTTGGTGACAAAATAGTTTAGTAAGTATTGTGAATGTGATACTCTATTTGTCGCTTCAGTGAAAAGTCAAACTACTACAACCTCATGTTTTGCAAGTTGTTTGTGAATGTTACATGATTTACTCCATAAATAAGCAACTTATTCACTCATTCAGTGGATCAAGATCATTCATGATAAACTGATTGTTGTTGAGCTAGTCAAATTCCACGCCTTGAAGGTTTCATTCGCAAGAACCTGTCTTGCACTATAGAGATTTTTGGCTGGGATGCCTTTCCAGTGTGTGAGATCACTACATTGACTGCCACACTTCATAATAAGCAGTTGTGATAAATGGGAGTATCGAAATGGACTGTGCAAACTGATATAAATTATTAAAAGTACAGCTTCCAAAAACCACAGTAGCGCACTCTTTGCAGCTTTGTGAACTGATAGTCAAGATTTAACTTCATTAGCTGGCAACTTAAGTCAGTGGGGATGTTTAAAAACTGAAGTCTGTGAACTATTCCACACATGGAAGAACTCAGAGAATCCCTTCATCTGCAAGTGTGTCTATCCAAGTCAGTGGGGGGAACATTTACAGCATCTCTTGTAATGTATGTAAGTGAACTTCAGTCTCTGATGTTGCTGCAAACTCACCATTGACGCAGCTGACTGTGTATGGAAGATGACAGCCAACACGTTCATGTAGCAGAAATAATGTGACCTGTCATAGCTAATACGTGATCTCCCTTTTGTTTAATTCAGTTGACAGACTCACACCATGTTTTATTTTTTAAGATTATTTTATAATTGTACTTTTATCCGTGCTTAGGTCCCATTGTTGCTAGGCCATATATTGTGCCATTTAAATTAAGATACAAAGATTAAATACATATTCATGTAAGACTAGCATATCTTGGAACCACAACACTATTATTAGACCCCTAATGGGCATGCATTGTAGTGCTGATGATCTCAGAGGAGTCATATTTGCTCCTAATCATTTTTCTTAGTGATGCACCATTCAGGACATGTGCATACACAATTTTGGTTCTCTGAAATTTCTTGTGATTGATTATGTTTACCAAAAAGACCACACTATTTTATTTTATGAATAATTCAGGAGATAACTTACCCATTTCATCCCTTTTTTTGGACTAGGCTCCTGCAGTTTAGATATTTTGCTTGAACTGTCTCACCAAAAGTGCTGCTTCTACAGATGCAAAGAACTTATGAGACATATACATCTCGAGCAGAATGAGAAGTCAGCGGTTGCGGAGCACAGCATAAACACAGGGCACTGCATTGACTTCGGCAGTACTGCTATGTTACACAAACAGCTTTATAAATTCTAATATGTTTAAGTTTATCTGTTTGTGACACATTTAGTATGTCCATGTTTTTAGTTAGATCATATTTATGGTTAATGTTTAAGTACATGCTGGGTGTTCTATGATGTTTCTTGATTGTGTGCAGCGTCTGTTTCTGAGGCCTTAAATCTACCATGAACTGCATTTTCATTGCACTTCATACTGTCAAGTCATCTCTTAATTCAGACATTGCCCTTCTTACATGTCACAGATGAGTTCAAATTTTTGAAGAGATATGTTTTTCATAATTTAAATCTAAATGTTATTAGTGACAATGTTGAATAACCACTCGGCTTCAAGGTATATGCATCCATAAAGAAATATTTAGGAGAAAAATGTAAGGAGGTTGGTGAACTGACTAAGGAAGGTAAAATGGAGAGAGCCTACAAGATAATTAAACAATTCTTTGGTAATCGATGGATAAGATGCAATTGTATACAAACTGAAGAAGGAATGGTAGTGTATCAGCAAAAGGACATTGCTGAGGGATGGAAGAAATACCTAGAAAAACTTTATGGAAAAGGAGGGCATTATGGAGAAGAGACACTGGAAAAGGAAGACGAAGTCGATCCAGAAGAGAAAGGAGGCTATATTCTGTGAGATGACTTCGACCAGGCTGTAACACAGATGAAAGATAGGAAGGCAGCTGGTATCGACGATCTACCAGCGGAGCTCATCAAGGCCGCAGGCGAAAGGGTACAAAGTGAACTGTTCCACTTAGTGAGTAGAATTTATGAGACAGGGCAGATTCCATCAGATTTTAAAAAGTGTATCATTGTCCCGCTACCAAAAAAAGCGTCTGCAGTCAAATGCGAGCAGTATAGAACCCTCAGCTTAGTGGCCCATGCATCTAAGATCCTAACCACTATAATTTTACGGAGGATCGAAGGGAAGATAGAAGCGATGCTCACGGAGGACGAGTTCGGTTTCAGGAAAGGAAGGGGCACCCGTGAAGCAATTCTAGGTCTACGCCTAATTATTGAAAAGAGATTAAGGAAAGACCAAGACACGTATATTGCCTTATTTTAAAAAGTGTATCATTGTCCCGCTACCGAAAAAAGCGTCTGCAGTCAAATGCGAGCAGTATAGAACCCTCAGCTTAGTGGCCCATGCATCTAAGATCCTAACCACTATAATTTTACGGAGGATCGAAGGGAAGATAGAAGCGATGCTCACGGAGGACGAGTTCGGTTTCAGGAAAGGAAGGGGCACCCGTGAAGCAATTCTAGGTCTACGCCTAATTATTGAAAAGAGATTAAGGAAAGACCAAGACACGTATATTGCCTTCATAGACCTGGAAAAAGCGTTCGATAGGGTCGACTGGCAGCTGTTCAAGATACTGAGGGAGGCAGGCGTGAAGTACAAGGACAGGAGGGTGGTGCAGAGACTGTACAGAGAGGAGATGGCGGTGGTGAGGTGCGGTGAACATCAAGCAAGGAATGCGACAGGGCTGCTCACTCTCACCTGTCCTGTTCAGTGGTTATATTCATAGAGGGTTGGATGAGGTGAGAGAGAAGCTTGAAGGAGTAAGAAGAGTGTGTATTCAAGGGGAGAAAGTTGACATGCTACGATTTGCTGATGACATAGCAGTGTTGGCTGAAAATTTGCAAGACCTGGTAGCGACCCTGGCGGAGATGGAGAGCACCCTCAGCACCACCTACAACTTGAACATCAACAAAGAGAAGACTAAAATCCTGGTGGTGAGCAAACATGGCATGCAGGCGCATTGCTCGCTGGGCAGCGAGCGGCTGGAGAACATGGAGTCCTTCACGTATCTTGGATGCAGGTTATCATCAGATGAAAGGTCAAAAGCAGAAGTTATAAGCCGCATTAATCAAGCGAAGCTCGCCTTTAACAAAAAGCACAACCTTTTCACCTCTAACAGCATTGATAAACACCTCAGGAAACATCTGGTAAAGACATTTGTATGGATTGTATTATTATATGGAAGTGAGACCTGGACAATCGGGGAGGCAGAGAAAAAGAGAATAGTGGCATTTGAACCGTGGTGCTACCGTAGAATATTAAAAATGCCCTGGGTGGACAGAGTGTCAAACAAAGAAGTGCTGCTGAGGATTGAGGAGGAGAAACTGTGCCTGTGGGATACGTTACAGAAGAGAAGAAACATCTGGGTCGGGCACATCATAAGACTCTTGGGACTGATTAAGATGATCCTTGAAGGTGCTGTGGAGGGAAAGAACTCTAGGGGCAGACCGAGGTTAACATATATTAATCAGTTAACGGAGGACACCGGCTGCCCCTCCTATACAGCATTGAAGAGACTTGCTGAGGATCGAGAAGCTTGGAGAGCTGCTGCCAGCCAGTCCTACAAATAGGATTGATTACAAAAGAAGAAGAAATAAATGTGTATATCCTTGAGCTGCAAGCAAATGCACACACACACACACATACTGGCAATATCAGTTTTATACATAGATGGCTCCATACTTGTGATTACCATTATATTTCCCAAAATGGTTAAAAAAAATTATTATGCCCTACATATATCTTTGCCTTAGGAAAAGTAGAATAAATAAAGTAATTCTACATGTTTTTATACACAGATTAGTTTAAATTCTTGTTGTGACTAGTTATTTAAGTATTTTTGTCCCATTAGTATGGAGTTAGAATTCTTGTTATATGTGGTGCTAATCTCATGTTGGCATGTTATTACAATATATTACTTTTTATATCCTTATCCTGGTGTACTGTTTTTTTATGAGGTGTATGTTATGATGAGTTTAGTTTGGTAGCCTGTATATGCATGGGTTGTTATTTCTTGTTTGTAGCATTTTCTATGTGAAAGTTGACTGGTGTATTCAAACAGTGGTCATATATGTAAAAACTGTAATATGTTTTATGTGTGGAAAGCAGGGCTGTGGAGTCAGTAATAAAATCTCGGACTCCTTCATAAAAGCTCAATATGTATTAATGATGGTAAACCTACTAAAATGGTAAATGGTACCACAAGAGATTTCATCATGAGGCTACATTTTAGACTTATATGTTTAAATATTTGTCTAATGGTTATTGCTGAAATCGGTTGATTTGTAGACAGTTTGTATTCTTAAGGTACCGGAGCCAAAGTTACAAAGAATTATTGAATCTCCCTAACCGGGAGACCACTGGCGGCTCACACGGTAGCGAAAGCATTCTTAAGAATTTATGTCGGAGTCGGTACATTTTTACCGACTCCACAGCCATGGCGGAAAGGATAAAATATTTCCTTCATATTCTTACAGTCCGAGGTATATTAGCTAACATGACTGACATTGTTGTTTGTTTTGCGTCCAAATGTGAAAGGGTTAAGGAAGTGCAGTTATAGATTGGCAGTAAAATGCCAGCTGGATGCTGGGATTCAGTTTTTCCTCATTGTCGGACATAAAAGTGGTTTGAACATGAAGCTGACCACTTCCTTTCATCATCTCAAATGTACGTGGAAGTTTTATTCCATACTCTGACTGTCTATGTGGTGTGATTCCTAGGTCACAGGAATGGATGCACTGCCATAACAATTGAATGTTGTGATGTTATGATAATCTTGTAATATATAGATTCAGTTATTTCAAAGAGAAATTTGAAACTGAGATGAGAGAATATGCTTTATTAATTTTTATAGGCAGAAGGATGTACCACAGCAATGAACATTTGGGTTTTGTGAAGGACACAACATTTCTGAACTAACTGAACAACTCTGCTGCATGAAATTAGGAGAGTGAAAATGGGAGGTGTTTCTATTAAATGTCTGATACACAATTAATTTTGTTGCTCTAGATGTGCTGTCAGATTTGACTGTGAAGAAGCTCTTGCCATTGGATTCCAGCAGTTTGAGCTACAGCAAGTTACACAGAGTTTCAGATGAGTGACGTTCCAGTCTATGTGTGTCACCTTGGAGATGTCATCTACCAAGACACCTTCCGCAGGTGTGCATGGAGCTAGTGAGTAATATTCTAATATTATATTTGTGTTCAGCCTCATGGTTCTAAATAAGTAACCACAGTATGAATGAAAGGGAGTTCTGGGTTGTTTCACATAAGTCATGCTCATTATCATTATCAACAGATTCTGGTACAATATTCTGTGAAAGATACTTTTATGCAAGAGGTTTATATTAAGTTGCTTGGCTGATTTCATTTTACTTCATATATGCCCTCTATAACTATGTGAAGCTGAAGTCAGACTTTATCAGGAAACAGTTGATTATATGAAAAATGGATTTTTAACATATATGTTCATACATGCATATACATAAATACTTATGAACATGCGTACAGACACTTTTTTAAACTTGCATTTGAAAATGTTTTGGTGTCTATTCAGTTAAATATTACTTGCAAAACAATTTTTGCAAAGTATTATCTCACAAGGGTTCATATAGCAGTAACACTCAAGACTCTCATTGGGAGATGCCCACTTCAAAGTTTAGCTGCATTGCCGTGTATCCTAACTGAGATTGTTTATGGTTTCTTCAGCCCCATTTTAGACATACTGTGAAATAGATTGTGACCATTCCTTTTCCAACACAAAACTTCAAGAAATGTAGATAGTTTTTATGAAATGTGATTTTGGGTAGTTCTATAGAAATTTGACGTGTTCCAATTTTGGTTCACATATGACAGCAGTAGCAGACACTTTACATGAGGACCTACACATATTTCTGTGTGCTGAAGTGACTGGGTGGGGAATCTTCAGCCAGACATCCACCAACCCACCCACCTAACCAATCACATGGGAAATACCCGACTCTAACATAACTGGCACCATTCACAGATGTCAAAGGTCATACCTGGTAAGTGACCGTAATTGTTGTGGCATTCATAATTTTCTAACTTCTTCCTAGTTCTTCACATGTGGGGCAGAATGGTCTATAGATGCCTCTGTTGGACCATAAAATTTAAAATATTGCTGCCTTTATTACAGGTACTGATGGAAATGACAGCTCAGATAATTGAGGTTAAATAAAATGTTGTTTTGTTATATTGTAAAAAGTGTCCATTTTCATACCTCATTTGAGGTATGACAGCTCACATGCAGTTTTCATGAAACCAAAGATGTATTGGTATATGATATATAATATGCTCAAAATTCAGCATTCAACTCCTACTGTATTCTGAAATGCCTGTCTCTAAATACAGGGTATACACAAAAGAATGGTGCAGTTTCACAAGTTAATAAAAAAAATATTTCCGCCGCTGACGGTGTATGTTGTGCCCGTGTGAGGTGAGAAATAATTTTTTTATTAACTTTTGAAACTGCACCATTCTTTTGTGTGTGAGCACATCATCTTCGTTTTACAGGTACCAGAAATAACTTGATCTAGGTAAGAATTCGCAAAAGGAAATTAAATTTGGTGGGATGATGGATTTGTAGCCTTGAAATTTATTAAACATTTTGTGTAAGCTATAGATCATGAATAACACAAATATTGACACACCATCTGTAAAACTGAGTGGAGACAGAGTACAAAAACAGAAAATTTTGTTTCATAATCTAAAAGAAGTCTATATAATTCAAAGAAAAATGCCCAGGTAGTGCAATAAGCTTTTCAGTATGTTCTGAACTACTAGAAAGACCAAATTGGTGTTCCGGTTTTGTTTGTATGGTACACACATCACATATGTATGTACAGTTTATCAGGACATGAGTGAAGGAAATGATAACAATGTGTGCAAAACTGAGAATGAGGATTGTATGTATGGTGCATAAACACTGCAAGTAATACTTGAATTTGATGATATGACAATAGAGTAGAAACAGTGCATAATGGCAGATTGACTCAATGACTGTAAAACAGTGGTTACCAAGCACATTGAAAATCTTGCTTTTTAAAAAAAAAGATTTTATACTTTTTTGTGTCAAGGTATGAGAATTATAAATGTTGGTTGCAAAGGCAAATCTACAAGTCAGCAACTTCAAATACCTCATGAACTATTAAATGACTACATCAGCAACATACACAACATTACATACATACATATTTATTTCATTCCATGGATCCATAAGTTAGTTAGATGGTCAGAATTTATACAATACATATATACCAATTACAATTCATACTGTTATAAAGATTCAATTCAATTAATTTATTTACGTGTTTGCCAACAGCAAGAAGCCAATAACAGGCAAACACTGATAATATATACAATAATAGTGAAATAAAAATTAATAATATAAGGGTTTACATAAAATACAAATACATCCACTCATTACATACAGTTGATAAATTATACTACCCGTTTATAATATATTATGACAAGAAAACTTTAATGAACATTATGAATTTTTATAATGTATTCTTAACTATACAAAGGAAGTATTTGATATATCAGTTGCAATACCAGAGAAATCACTAAAGCTGTTACTTTTCTATCCACATGTTTTATGACACACCAAATAACAGAAGTCTCATGTTAAACAGCACAGCATACTGGTATATGTGTCTTCATATATTGCCTGTGAATATGATGGTTTGGTGGTTGGATATTGATCAAGAAATGTTCTGTGTAAAATTCATGCAGCCTCATTGACCAAATTGTAACATTTTTTGTCCTCAGAGAGAAGATTCCTTCTGGATTGAAGATAACAGTTTTGAGCTTGTCATACATGTTCGAAGCATCAAACATATAAAATGTTAACAGAATTATTATTCTGAATTGAGAAGAAACATTGAAATGGTGTCTTATTAATCATATACTAACCACACATGCATGAAGGTACTTGGACTGGAACCTACATATGCTTCAGGTAAGGATGCACATGTGCTTATAGATATATTTAGACAGAATTGTTTCAAAGTAGAGAATGAATGCAATTCTGAATTTTGAGTATATTTTTGTCATATGCCAACATATCTTTGGTATATATGACAAGTATGTATGAGCTGTCAGACTTGAGAAATTGAGTATGAAAATTGACGTTTTTTGCAACATAATGAGAATGCATCTTATTTTACCTCAATTATCTGAAGACTGCCTGAACCTGCAACTTCAGTATTAATATACTTCAGAGTCCTCCTTTAGGTAGTAAAGTGTACAGAGTTTAATACTTGTATCTTCTTATATACTAAAATTCGTGATTTGTCGTTGTTGCCAATCTTTCGTAGCCAAACAATTGCGTCATCAAACAATGTTACGTCATTTGTTTACTCGGCATTGTTGTGTTGGTATATGCTTCACAACGATGAGATCACCAAGTACCAAGACGGTCGCATGATCACTGCTCCAGAAGCAGCACATCGCATTCTTAAAAATGAAGATTTGACTGACAGTTGGCCTTCGAACAGCAACGTAAAGAACTAAAACATCAGAAATATTTAACAAATAAAGAAAAGCGAAAGAAGACTTACATTGATAAATGTAGAAAAACTTATTCAACAAGAACAGAAGGGCAAAAAAAGAACAGACGAAGATTTGCAAGGGTGGAGTGACTGAACAAGAACAGTTGGCCTCTGAACAGCAACGTAAAGAACTAAAACATCATAACTATTTAGCAAATAAAGAAAAGTGAAAGAAGACTTTCATTGATAAACGAGACCATATTAACAACACACATAGAAAAACTTATTCAACAAGAACATAGGACCAAACAATGACGTCATCAAACAAATGACGCTTCACAACGACGAGATCACCAACTACCAAGACAGTCGCATGATCACTGCTCCAGAAGCAGCACATCGCATTCTTAAAAATGAAGATTTGACCGACAGTTGGCCTCCGAACAGCGACGTAAAGAACTAAAACATCAGACCTATTTAAGAAATGAAGGAAAGTGAAAGAAGACCTTATCAATTATTTGAAGTACCAACACCAACAAGGTAAACTGATACTAATAATAATACTCATTCAAGTCATACTACTCATTCCATATATTACGATTACGAAAACTATTATGAAAACTGACTTTATGATCGATTTTAAGACAAAGATTTGCAAGGGTGGGGCTGGACATAGAAAGTTTACTGACCAAGAACAGTTGACCTCTGAACAGCGACGTAAAGAACTAAAACATTAGACCAGAAAAAGTGCTCCGAAAGGAGCGCGTTGCTCTATATACTAAAATTCGTGATTCCCCATCGTCGTCAATCTTTCGTCGCCAAACAATTATGTCATCAAACAATTTTACGTCATTTGTTTACTCGGCATTGTTGTGTTGGTATACCAACACATCAATGCCGAGTAAACAAATGATGCTTCACAACGACGAGATCACCAACTACCAAGACAGTCACATGATCACTGCTCCAGAAGCAGCACATCGCATTCCTGAAAATGAAGATTTTACTGACAGTTGGCCTCTGAACAGCGATGTAAAGAACTAAAACATCAGACCTATTTAAGTAATGAAAAGTGAAAGAAGATGTTATCAGCTATTTGAAGTACCAACACCAACAAGGTAAACTGATACTAATAATACTACTCATTCAAGTCATACTACTTATTCAATATATTACGATTATGAAAACACTTTATGATTGATTTTAAGACGAAGATTTGCAAGGGTGGAGTTGGACGTAGAAAGTTGACTGACCAAGAACAGTTGGCCTCTGAACAGCGACGTAAAGAAGTAAAATATCAGATTAGAGAAAGCGCTCCGAAAGGAGCGTGTTGCTCTAGTCTTAAATTTTCTGAGATGTGTGACAACATAAATCTCAGGTTTTTTTCTAGCTTACAAAAACCATGAAATTTTGTGGTAAGATTTGACCCAAAATTTGCCATCGAATTGGCTCCCAAGAGCAGTAAGACAAATATGCTCTAGAATTACTCTTATAGGTCTACAGTTAGAGAGTAAAATAATGTGAATCTTATCAAAGATCCCAAAAATATTTGCCATGTTACCTTTGTTAAAATAGCTTAAGTGACATTTTTCTTTTGTGTATACTTCTTGAAATATCTGTGAAATGTTGATACCAGCTCAGTAGTTGTATACTACTTAATTAGGAGTCACATATTAAGACTGACAAGTATAATTAATTCTGACAGTGTTATCACATCCATTTGTTGACTTCATGTGGAATGACCCCAATGTAAGAATTGACTTCTCTTTGACAGACAGAATTCTTATTTAGACACCAAAGATGCCATTGAAATTTTCCTTAGATGTAGCATATTTTTTGAGAAGGATCCTGAAAAACAGTCTGGTAAAGAGGAGGTTGGTGTTCTGGAGACCAAGAGACATTTGTTCTTCTAGTTAACAAAGTTCATTGTATGTAACTATTTTAGTTCTAAATTGTGTCTTTTTCATGTTATGTACTAAGAAAATCAAACATGAGCACACAGTTGGAGACTCTTGGCATTGTTTCTGAGTGATTTGATTCTTCTAAAAATGTAGTGGGCAAAAAGTGTGACCAGCAGAGCAATTTTTGTGTATGAAATGTCATAACACTATCAGTAGGTACACAGTAGGATCACAATAATAGGTTTAAGAAGAAGTGTTTAACATTTATCTTACTAAGGTTCCTTGTCTGGGAGTAAGTTGTGTACTCAGCCCTATATAAGGGTCCTTGTGCAGAACGCAAATCTAGCAACACTGTATGTAGACTTGGCTACTTCTTTTGGCCTGTTTTAGAGGCTGCAAACATTGATTCACTTTCTCTAGGGTTTTGACAAGGTCAGCCTGAGCTATAACCATAAACAGCAATAAACATTGTTATTGTCAAGTGGGTTTGGGCTTCCTTTTCATACCCCCTATTCAAAGCTTCTCACATTCCTGGGCATGATGTGTGAAAAGAATGTGTATCCACTGAAGTAGGGGAAACAAATATTTCTGTGTGGTCATTAGTTCACAACCATGGCTTCTACCATGTCAAATGAGCTTCCAAAGAAGAAAGTAAAGTTAATTCTAAGGCCTATTTAGGCAATTAAGATATTAACTGCATTTTTAAAAAACTGTTTATTCTCTGTTCTATTCGAATAAATGTGGCTTTTATTTCGTCAATTTATCATGTTTACTTTAGATAATATTATGAGCCGGGATAGCTCAGTCAGTATAGTGACTAGCTACGGGCTGGACGGCCGGGGTTCGATCACCGACGGGGGCAGAGGATTTTTCCTCTAGCCTCTGCGTCCAGACCGGCTCTGGG